CTTTGTTACAAGTAGACAGTAAGTCCTGCATTCAATAATCAAGTAAAGTACAAGAACCTCAAAACTGTCCTTAAGTGTGGAACTTAAGTTAATGTACTTAGTTCATTTCTACCATTGCAGATATATGCTGTATTTACCAATACATGTGCACATTTCACATACATTTGAATGTTTTATACTATAGTGTACAGAGAGAAAAGTATGTCATTCATACAGGCTCACACTTCATTAAAACAACATCTATTTTATTCCATACATTCACCCACTCTGGCTCTGAGGGAAACATCATCAGTCACGTACGGGAGTAAATCTGTGTGTGTGTACGTGCACATCTGTGTAAGTGTTCATACATATGTGCACATGAACTCTTATTTCCAGAACACTTGTGAATGACTGAGCAAAGTAGACACACTGATTGTTCTCCTCATGACAAGCACTTTTCACAGCGCTCCTCCTCATCCCTTCTCTCTGTGTTCCCTTGCGGAGTTGAAGAGTTGAATCATAGGTCAGCAGCTCTTTGCTCAGAGAGAGACAGACTAGATTTCCAGATGGTGAAGTCACCATCTATCTCTGCTTAACTCACACTCGCACACACAGTTTGCACACATAGTAAATACCCCCTGAATGGTTGCGCAAACTGTACACAACAACACGCACACACACTGCATGCTGCCATCTACCTGTACCTGCCCTGCTTCCTCTGACGGTGCGTAGAACAAATTGAGACGTGTCAGCCCTGTAATTGGTTCCAGGGGAAGAGCATGATGGGAAGAAAAGCGCTGAGTGGACACTTCCGTTAAGAGGGGGAAAACCCACTTTACAGTAACTGGGATACTTTGAAACTGCAGGCTGTGTGTGTGTGTGTGTGTGTACTGTGGCAGCTTGCCAGCATCTTTGGCCTGCTGAACGTCCATTTGTCTTAAATGGGAAGCACACAAGCTCAGAAAAATATGATCGTGCCCCAAACTCAAACAGAGTAAGACATTGAAACATTTGTCCCACTGGCGTTTCCATCTCATCAAGATTTATTTTGCATTGTTTGTTTTTTCCAATTTCATCTGTTGAAAAACATGACTAGAACATTATTCAGTTATCGTACAGTAGTTGATTTTTACAGTACTTTCCCAGCCAATTCTCAAAAGTTATTGAGAATTGTCCAGGTACTATGGGTGTGTGATTCTGTGTGTGCATGTTTGTTCGTTGCCACGGCCACAAAACAGCTATCAAAACCAGGAGCATCCGTCACAGAGAGATAGGCTTAAGGCCTCTTAGATCAGAAGCTCAAGGACAAGACACACACTCACACACAAAGTATGAGAAAATGATATTGGCACAAGACTTGAGTGTGGGCAAAGGCCAGAAAACAGTGATGGAATTATTTTCAGTTTGGTAACAAACTTTCTCTAAAGCAACAATATGCTCAGTTCTCACGAGTCAAACACCTAAACTTAAAGGACCTAAAACACCAGGTTTGGTTTTGTTGGTGCAATTATGTGGCACATAAATATATTTTTTACAAGCCGTTGTTTTGTCATGAATACTTTTACACAGAAAGCAAATATGCAATGGAAAGGCGATGTCCTTTACCTTCCAGAACAAGGCCGAACTTTGCCAGCGTTCGCACCGCAAATCAGAGTTCATGTACCAACAAAATCAGTCGCTTTAGCAGAACTTTTCTCTTGTCTTTCCCGGGCCAGTTGCCATGCCAATGTAAAAAAGCAATTATTTAAAAAATCATTTACAATAAAAACAATCTTACATGCCCTGTTTTCTAGCATCAAAGGAAAAAAAGAAAAAGGTTGTCTAAGTAAAATGTGCAGTAGCTTTAGTTCATCTACGGCCACTAGCCGATACTCAGGTAACTCAGTCTCAGTCAAGTTTCCATTGAAATGTAGCACCACAACTGTATATCTATCAAATTGGCTGAGGGGAATGCTAAATAAACTGTGTTTTAATCCACTTTTGTTATGCAAAAAATAGAAGGTGGATGCTATAAGAAAAGATGGTGGTGATATTTCTGCCATTAAACCATTGCAGGAGAAGAGGACACAATTAGATAATCAAATAAGCACATTCAATCTTAATCAGATGTTAATAATGTGGAAACATGATGGAAGTATGACATTTTGTTTGTTAGTTTATTTATTTGAGAAAGCTTATGGTCTCCCTAAATAGAAGGAAGGTTCAGTGGAAGTTTAGCTCACATACTTTATTTAGATCATGATTACAGTCTTTTTTTATATATATATATATATATATATGCAATACATTTCCGCCCCAGCTATGGGTCAACTCTTTTGTGCAAGAATATTTATTCGTAAAATGTAAAGCAAATGTGTCCATATTTAATAGGTTTTTTATGCTTGACTTAAAATGGTGCATACAAATAGGTGTTTGGAAATGCGCTTTTAAACTGTATTTCATTCAATGGGTTAGACATCCATTTCACTGCCGGTGTTTTTCTTGGTTATTTAAAAAAAGATGATTTAGGGGATTAAAAAGCTTTGTATTAAAGTATGTTTGGGGAGTTAATGGCCTTGATTGACAGGTGGCGAAGTCACTCGCTTAAACTCCAGCCACTCCTCCTTTGCCCACACTTGGATGTCCTGAATGTATGAAGTGACAAAGAAGAGTTCTGACATCACAAACATTACCTCATTGTTTTTCTGTTCAGCAGCTGACTCTTCTCAAGTTAAGTAGACACTGTTGTGTCACAGTAACCTTAACTTAAAAACAAATCTGAATCATGCCTGTCAATTACTCTCAAAACATTTTAAAATGTACACACACTGCAGCAGTCCATCAGACGGGACATTATTAAGTTCTAACTTTAAATGTATAACAACATGATGTTGATTATTCAGGGTAATTTTCATCTGATGACGTCTTTCATAATTGTTGTTTGATTAGGAATGTGGTGTCTCTTTAAACTTACTTTTAGATTCATGGAAAACAAATGAAAGCATTCGGTTTCATTTTGCTAAGAAAATCCGTTTGAAGAGTGAAGTGCAATATATTGTGTCAGTGGGCTTCTCTGTTGCAGTGTGTGTGAGATGCTTCATCACATGTCCTCCTCTCATATCCCCCCCCCCCCCCTCTTTGTCTTTAGGCCAACTTAAATTATGGCTGCAGGGTCATGCGCAGGGTTCAGAGCCTCAGACAAGACGGTAGAAAGAAAGAGTTACTGACTGAAAGAGAAAGGTTACAAATAAAACGAGCATAAAATACATGTTATAAATCAACAAATAATTAATTATAATAATAAATTCATATAGTTATAGTGTTTATTTAGGAAAGAAAACATTCAAAATTATTGGCGAAAGTTTCGTTTGGTGCGTAATTAAAAGAGGATTTAATTGGTAACATATTCAGCAATGTATAGCCTACTGCTGCATAGTTTAATTTATGTATTAATCAATTTAGTAGTTTTATTAGTGTTGTTATTATCGGTTATTTTTAGGGTGAACTGCGGGGTAAAGTCTGTCTGTTTCGACCACTTCAACACTGGGGGTAAAATATGATATTTGCATCAAATGAGCCGTTATCCTCCTTTTAACCCGGCATCCACCCCGACACACACGCACACGCACACACACACACACACACTCCCACGCGAAGAAGAAACGGACTTTTCAACGGGGTTTTATGGACATTCATCATCGCAATTGATAATGAAAAATGAACAGAGAACAGAGAGAGAATTAAGGGGGAAACCGGCCGACCGTGTCAGGAAGACTCGGAGCTTTATTATTAATACTTTGTTATCATTTACTTTATATATAAACGTTTGAATACATCTAGATTATTTTTACTGCGGGGTAGTAAACAATATTTATTGAATTTTCACCAAATTACCTTTTACGTCAAAATAGGTCCGAGCCGAGGACTGTAAAGTAGTTTTCAGACCACACTAAATCATGTTTTAAACGAATGACGCACCAGTGTCACTGGGCTTTTGTAAAGGCATTTTTATATGCTTTTGTCTAGATTTTATTATAAAACATTAAACAAGTAAATATAAACAACGAGTAGACCCGTAGGCCTTGAAGCCTAACCCCAGAAGATGTATCCTCCCGCGGGCCGTTCATCAGCGACCGACAATGAATCTACTCACAACTTAAATTGGACCGCTTCGGTTCTAACAATAAAAAAGAATACAACCAATAATAATTATACAAAGTAATTTTACTGGCAGGTTTCATTATACCGTACAAACCGCAACCATTTTTGTACATTACGTATTTCATGTCATTTTACCTTACTATTAACAATATTCCTGCGCGGGGCCAGGACTAATTTCTGTATTTCTTTTCAAATTCTGTCTGAAATGTAGGGTTTGAAAAATACTATCGAATCGAAACCTTCGAATTTTTTCGATTAAAAATGTGTTAAAATTGCGCATGTGATCGCATTTTATTAAACATATGTAGCGTATCTATGACCCATAAAATGGCTGGGGAAAATATCAGCCTCTCAGCAATAACCTAGATGTATAATCATATCAAACAACATAGTTCATGCGATGTTTTTGTCTCAATTAGCTGAGATAAAACAAAATCATAATGATGAGTTTTTCGACATAACCCAAAACACCCTAAAACAATGACAAATATAATTTTTCAGATTTTGAATATATTTCCTGCAAAATGTTTGAGTGGGTGTGTGTGTTCAGCATACAGTAAGTGAATGAAGTCAGAGGGCTCCTGTCCTTCATCACCTCCTGACTCCACCTCCTACCCTCCTCACAGACACACACACACACACACACACACACACACACACACACACACACACACACACACCCACAGAGGCTGAGATTGTGGAGGGAAAAGAGGGCTACTCCTCCTCACTCCTCCACTCCTCTCTCTCCATTCACTGAGAAAGCGCTGAGCAGAAGCCTCTCTCCTCCTTCAATGGACTCCATCTCTCTGAGCCCAACATTCTTTTTCTGCCGAGGGAAACAGTGAAGACCACCACTGATCATTGAGTTGTATTCCTCCTCCTCCTCGAAAAAAGTTCCTTTGAGTTTGCTGCATCGCCATGAACTTCTGCCGGACTTAAGGAGCTTCCAGAGTGGCGTCGTAAACAACTGATGGGTGAAAACCGAACCAGACTTAAAATAGAATCCTGCAGTGTGAAGAAGATTTCCTAGACTCTCGTGGATTTAGAGGGTGAGGCTGATTTGGGGGAGGCAGACAGGTAGAAATAGGGAGGCAGATCAAATTTAAAAATAGCCTACCTTAGTCCTAGTTTTGCCCCCTGGACCACGATGGGTTCAGACGTGCGTGACCTCACCTCCATGCTGCCCCCCCTCTCGGGGGGCCCCAGCCCCGGCTGCCCGGCCCTGCCTGTCAGCACGGCCCCTCAGTGGGCTCCCGTCCTGGACTTCCACCCAGCAGCCTCCCCGTACTCCTCCCTGGCCGCCCCCCACTCCTCGCTGGGGCCGCACTCCTTCATCAAGCAGGAGCCAAGCTGGGGGGCCACCACCGACCCCCACCTGCACGAGACGGATCCTCACTGCGGCCTCAGCGCCTTCACCGTGCACTTCTCCGGGCAGTTCACGGGCACCGGGGCCTGCAGGTACGGGGCGTTCGGGGCCCCTCCAACGGCACCAGCCCCCCCCAGCCAACCTCCATCTGTGACGGCCCCCCACCACCACCAGCCCCCCAGCAGGATGTTCAGCAACTCCCCCTACTTGACCAACTGCATGGACACACAGCAGGCGGCCCGCAGCCAGACAGGTAGGCAGCAGGTGTGTGTGTGTTTTCTGTCTGGGTGTCAGAATCATCATCCATTTTTTCCGAGACACTTTGAAGGACGCTAATGAAATATGTCAAAAGTGTCCAAGTATCACCTGGACTACATGTTTTTGCATCCTTTAGTTTGCCTCCTTTTATTGAAGCTTTACTTTTTTTGATAACAAAGTTCATTTTTCCTAGAAATCAAATGTAAATTCAGGACATGTCACTGTTTAACTTACTCTCATCAACCATCAGCTGATATTAATCTAAACATGACATTTCAAAACACCTCAGTCACATATAACCTAAAAGTGTCCGTATTACACCTGCACAAGATATATGAAACATTATTTCACATGGTTTAAACTGGCAGATGTGATGCCTTCACTTCCTGGAGGCCTCACTTTTACCCTAAGTTCCCAGTACTGTCACTATCAGAATCAGAATCAGGTGTATTGCCAAGTAGGTTAACACATACAAGTAATTTGCCCTCCTGTATTTGGTGAATACATAAACACAGTCAGACACAGTGTAAGAATTGGCCCATAAAATAAAACAAGGATAAAAGCTATTTGAAGTAAACTATAATAACATATCAATGTTATTAAAGAAAATATCCTTATTAAACCCTTGAAGAGATAATTAAAAATCTCATTGAAGAACTGGAGAGTATTGCATGTTTGTGTACAGACATGGATGCTTCATTTTTGTACATTTAAGCATCAATAAAAAAGAATTATTGTTAGTTTAGTATTCAGAATTAATCCAAAGACATCTGTGTAGCTCAAAGCCGTATGAGTAAATGGGTAATTTAAAACAACAGTTAAGAAAAAACTGGCAATAACTAAGTCATATTCAAAAATGTATTTTGACCTTAAATTTAGACTCACCATGATGTTTCATGAGATAATAACAATTATCTTGGTATTTTCTGATGAATGAATACTTAGTACTTGACATAGTCGTGATTTATTTAAAAAAAAAAAAATCATTTGGAGAGGTTATCTGCTTTTTAAATTCATATTTTGGAAATACATTTTTTTTTTTTAATTCTTCAAAGTAGATAACAAATATTTGATGTTCACTATCCACATATTGATGTTCACTATCCACATATTGATGTTCACTATCCACATATTGATGTTCACTATCCTCCCCGACAAAAACTCTAACTATTATAGGCTCGGGACTTTATATCATTTTGTCTACAGCAAGCACGTTGTGCCTCTGTTGAAGCTGCTGTACATACTAACTAACACTCAGGTAATAAAATACTTCATGGAATTACAAATGTTGGATAAATATCTCTTTTCATTTTAACTGTTCGTTTTTAATATAAACCTCAAACATCTTAACAAAAATGTGTGCCCGGGTGATGTTTGACAAACGAGATTTTTTTTCTCAAATGTTTCTGTCCAGTGTTAAAGGAATACATACATGATTGTTGAGGCATCGCTGAGTTAATATCATTTGTCATTTCATCTATTTGAGTCATGTTTTCCTTACATTTAACAGTTTTGCACATTTGTATACACTAATAATTTAAGTTTAAATACATTTTTTGAAAAATACCAATTATTTTAAATATTGGTTTTATATGTTATTCACTACTGAACAGATACAATTGTTTTAGACATTAAGACATACATTATTTTTGTATAAAAAATGCTTTTATGTATTTAAATTGTTTTCAATAGAACGGGAAAGAGGCTATACAGTTTCATTCATAAATGTTCCCATAATGTAAGCCTGGATCACTTTCATCATAGGCTTTTCCTTTTCTGTTTGAAAAGTATTTGTATTTTTAGCTACAGAGTAAAAGCCAACTTAATGGGGGATTCATATGATCAACGATACATACTTTATAATAAAATCCTAACTGCTGAGTATCCTGCCAATCTCAGCTAAGCCCGGCTCTTCTCCATGTCCGATAATGAATCTGTTAGTGGTTCCCCACCAGATTAATTAGTAATAACATGCTTATCAAGCAGATCATTTAGGAATAACATTATAATCAAAGAGCTGAGCCGACCTCTCACCTGTTTTATCTGTACCCCACCCCCCGCTGTGGCTGGACGAGCACAAACAAACACTAACAGCAGGACGGGGGTCTGATAGCAGTGCAGGGTCACAGAGACTATCACTGTGACCCCCCCCACAGGAGGGATTTCATTTTTTATATGGGATCAGGGCATCTATCATGCAGATATTTAGAAAACGTTTCTTGTTAAGTGAGGCCTGCCGATACGAATAAAAAAAACATGTATGGATCAAAAGAAAATCACGAAAGACATTTCTGATATACTTTTATTTTTTGAACATGTTTCATTTGTTTTACAACTAAACTAGCTTTTACAGGTCAGCACTTTTTACAAGTTAATAGTAATAGTAGCAAAGATAACCTGCTAACATGAGTGCTGCTAGTTTTTAAAGATAATATATAAATTATGTAGTCTTCGAATTATTAACGACAGGTAAAGTGTTCAAAACAAGCATTTACCAATATCACAATGTCAGCGAGAAAATAGGACGGAATGCATATTTTATACTTGTGGTTTCCCAACATTTTTAATTTACAAATATTTGAACTAAATGTATATTCATTCAAATTTTAAAAAATCCCCAAGAATTATTGGGTTTTCCATTTTAATACAAATTGACCTCATCAATTAAGTCTATGTGTACAGTATATTCAGTGCTGGACTTCAAGGCAACAAAAGTATCCTACTACACACATAAAAACACATACACGGCCACACACACATGGCCACACAGACACACACGGCCACACACACACACACACACACACACACACACACACACACACACACACACACACACACACACACACACTGAGAGAGGAGTCAGACAGGGGTGAGTGGAAGATAAATGGACATGTTTAATGAGGTTTTTCCCCTCTCCTCTCAACCAATGAAGCACTGAGGAAAGTGAGTGAAAGTGCATCTTTTTAATTAATGAAGCATGTATGAGAGAGTGAGAGATAGTGTTCGAGTGTGTGTGTTTCTGTGTGAGTGTGTGTGTGTGTGTGTGTGTGTGCATGTGGGTGATGTGGGTGTGTTGTGCCCTTTACAGTAGGTCAGTCTGATTGTCATGAGTCAGGCTGGTTGGGATATCAGCCACAGCTCTAGTCTCCTGTGTGTGTGTGTGTGTGTGTGTGTGTGTGTGTGTGTGTGTGTGTGTGTGTGTGTGTGTGTGTGTGTGTGTGTGTTGTGTGTGTGTGTGTGTGTGTGTGTGTGTGTGTGGTGTGTGTGTGTGTGTGTGTGTGTGTGTGTGTGTGTGTGTGTGTGTGTGTGTGTGTGTGTGTGTGGTTTAATAAAAACATTAAATAACACACATTTTTTCAACTAAACAAATCTATTTAGAGTATTAATCAGTTGGTGTTTACACTTTTAAAGCAAAAACAATCATACAATACAAAATGTCATTGCAAAATTAGATATACACCAACAGCATCTTGTCCTTGTGGCTGATAATCTAATAAGAAAAGTAGAAATGTTTGTATCTGCTCCAAGCAATGTGTGATCGCTGATGGAATGTATTCAACAGTCACATTAATATGCAGTGACTCTGCTTCTTGTTTCTGTGTCGCAGGTTACAGCGCGGTTGCATTCGATGGAGCCGGTAATTACGGCCACACTCCTACACACCACAGCTCGCAGTTCTCCAACCACTCCTTCAAACATGAAGATGCTCTAACACAGCAAAGCACTATGGGTAAGTGTCAATGCATGGAAGCTGAACTTGTTGTGGGATTCATTTAGGAGAATTTTTTTGAGACACAAAAAGAGTTAAACATATGATGCTGTCCAACACACTTGGAAAGTTGAAACCGTATAGAAACCAAAACAATTTTTTAGCTTTGGCTCTATGGTGGTTTTCAATGAATAGGAATTAAATGTAACATTATGTTGCTAGGAGCCTAATGTGTGGTTTAAATGTAGTTTAACCACCGAGGGTTCGCGTGAATCCCACTTGAATTGTGTAATTGTATAATGGTTAATGCTACACTGCTAAGCTATTTGCCTTTTTACAGGCACCTGCCTCATTTAGTAATATAGAAAAACAAACTGCATTACCAAGATGTCAGTTAACTTTATTTTTACAATTACAAATCATTGCTAAGGAAAATTAAAAAAGAGTAATAGTTTGAGGTTAGGATCTTTCTCACCAGCTAGCCTTCACTTGATGTAGCTTTCTTTCTTCAGCAGCCTCTGCAGTTAAGTGTAATAGCATGATAGCGTGTGTATTTTTTAGTTGCAATTTTAACAAAATGTATCTACACATTTCTATAGCATCATCCTTTTTGAAAACAAATGTGAAAAATCATGTCCAGGTACATTTCAAACACAATGTAGCTACATTTTGTAAGGCCCTATACATACTATGTCCAATTATAAATTGCATTACCTCCTCAACCCAACTGACATTAACGTAGGCTAAAACAAATTACATTACATTTAGCAACTGTCTTACAAATATGCTGACTGTACCCTGTTCTAACTTGTTCTAAATTGTGTAAGAAGTGCCTGTGAGGGATTCATAAAGTATGTCTTCTTCTTCTTCTATATCTTTTTCTTAAGTAAAGCTAAAAATACTACCATCTAAAATTACTTCATTACGAGTCAAACTCCAGCATTCAAAATGTTACCTTAGTTGAAGTATACAAGAATTATCAGCTAAATGTATAAATGTACTTGTTATGCAGAATTGCTCTTTTTCGCAGTATTATTTTAGTATTAACTATTATATTATAATTTGTAAAATGCTAGGTAGATTAGTAGTTCAATTATGCATCATATTATATCATGTGTTTTGTATATGTAAAAACTAACTAGTAAGTATGATTGTCAACTAAATGTAATGGAGTAATGTTATTTACCTCCGAAATAGAGGGGAGTAGAAGTATAAAGTATCATAACATGGTACATATGTATTTAAGTACAACACCTGAGTAAATGTACCTAGTTACATTTCACTACTGATTATCCCTCTCATTCTGGATCACATTTTAGAATAACCTGACTATTCATTCTTATCTTTCAGTAGTCAATTTCCTAAATATAAATACAATGCATCAGAGTCTCTTTCAATAAGAGCAATAGTAGACTATGTGTGTAAGTCTATGTGTATATTAAAGCACAGCTGCGTTTGTATGGCAGCTCCATGGCCCTCACCTAGGGAGTGTCTTGTCCCTTATCCTGACGTCTCGGCAGTGACCTCGTCTGTCGGAGGTATAAATCAGCCACATCCTGACTCACAAACTCCCTCTTCTCCTCTTCTCATCCCCTCTTTCATCCACCCATATTTCCCTTTAATCCCTTCTTTAAAACGTTATTTAGTAAATATTGAAATGTGTTGGTTTAACGAAGCCGTCGCGGTAAATTCTGATTTTGTTTGGGCAAAGATAAGTGGGAGAATCTAAGCTGAGAGGATTTTAGAATGTAGAGAATTGTCGAGGGAGCCATTTACTCTGATGCAGGGGAATCTCAGAGAGAGAAACGTAAAGTGCAGTGGCTTTAATTGTAAACAAAAAAAACTCCTGAAAAGTGGAGAAGGGGCAGCGTTTAAAAGGAAGTTTCTCCTCTGAGTGAATCACTGAGGAGTTTTTTTTTTCATCTTTGTTTCGTATGGGTGCATACTGGAGTACAAATTCATTTCCACATAATACAATGTGTGTGTGTGTGTCCACAGCTGAGCAGCAGTATCCTGTTCCTCCTCCTGTGTATGGATGCCACGCACCTTCAGACAGCTGTACAGGCAGCCAGGCTCTGCTGTTGAGGAACCCATACAACAGGTAAAACACATGCATGTTCTTGTTTTTAGGGTGTTGTGGGGGTACCTGACTAGAACATCCATTTTGGGGACCACCATTTATAAAGGTTGTACAACACTGACACAAATTGGCTAGTATCCTTGAGTGAACTTATACAGAAACTCCACCTTTAATTATCATTCAGACACAGTAGAGCTCACTGATTGGATTAGGAACAAACTCCTTGTACCTGCACAGCCAATATCTATTTTTGTAATAGACAAAGCGTAACAAATAAGGAGTTTCAGAAACCATTGTTGTTTTTCCCAAGCAGTAAGTAAGTGAAAGGTAGCAGGATGCAGTGTTGAACAGGGAGTCCACCTTCAGCAGGTCTCTCTGCCATATATCCACTTCCTTTCTTTTTCTGCCAACTCCGCCATGAGAAGAGGAGATAGAAAAATCCTAACTTGGGTTGTTGTTTATGTACAGACAAGTCGTTTTCTATTACGCAGATACCTACAAAAGTCAAGGTGCCACTGAAGGAAGTAAACTATCAATATCAGGAAGCTCTGTAGAAAAGTGGGTTGATTTATTAGGACATTTTCTGCTCGCCATTGACTGAACTATACAGGCCAATCCTGCATAGCTCATAAACTATGTAATCATTTTCTAATCAGGTCTCTACTTTTCAAAACAAAAGAAAAAAGGCTTAGGGCTAATACAATTCTTCAGTTGAGTCCCATCAAGCAGTTGTCCAAAAACAGTCTGTGATTCACTGCAGAAAATGAAAAAATGAAGCGCTACCTTTCTGAAATATATCCTCTCAACAAACTGCTGTCTTCTGACAGAAACATATATTTTTTTATTTCATGTATCAGAGAATCATCCTGTCAAAAATGCCCTGAGGTTTTTCGAATGGAATGTATTTTTCTCTGGATTTCTACTCATTTTGCGCGGTTTCACATCAACAGACTGTAGCAACTCATTTGCCTCACATACTAAATATTAATCCACATACTAAATATTTATTCACATATAACCCCAAAATATGTCCTCCTACTCCTGCCCCATCAAAACTGTTGCTTTCAGCCAACTCACCTCCACACCCTACCTAAGCCTTCAATCCCTGCTTCTCCCACACACCAGAACCAAAAGCACATTTAAAAACAAAAATAACGTATTGTCCATTTGGCATTAACTGCCTTATATATATTAATAGAAGAACAAGGACAAGGAGGCATGCACAAATATTTTTGACGGTTTTGACTACAACTTTACCGGGAGAATATGAAAATACATCTCCGTAACTGCTACATCATGCCCTTCAGAATATTTATAAACCATAAACAGGTTTTAATACGTATGTTTCCACCAAACTAAACATTTGAAGGAGGTATGTTTCCACACCGTTTGCTTTTTATTATGCTTTACAAATGAAACATTCTTCACAAGCTACTAACATTCTGTTCTCCAACGAAGGCAGAACAGAAGGAATCCCATGGAAATGTGTATGTGTGAGAGAGAGAGAGAGAGAGAGAGGAGAGAGAGAGAGAGAGAGAGAGAGAGAGAGAGAGAGAGAGAGAGAGAGAGAGAGAGAGAGAGAGAGAGAGAGAGAAAGAGAGATACAGTAGATAGAGATGAGGTGGACATACTTCAGACGGTCCCGAAAGTCTGAGGGTATTCTTTGTCATAAACATAACTGATTTCTCGTCAGCACACACATACACATGGCTGGGAAGACTCACATGAGTAGAGGCAGTTGTCTAATCTTGCCGCCTGGTACTACCAGGACTGTATTTACTCTGCAGGACGTCAGCTTGGCCGCTGTAACAACATGAAATGAAAACATGCTGAGGCCTTATTAATACACACACACACACACACACACACACACACACACACACACACACATACATATTTCGATACATTTAATACTGTGTTACCATATTATCCTAAACTGAAAAAGTTTCTATTGAAACCAGTTAGTACGATAGAAACAGTTTCATATAAGAAATAATGAGAGGATAATCCAGAATAGTGGGGACTTTGTTTGGGATAGAGATATATAGCTTTTGAGATTTTAAATGATATTTTTACCTATGCTTTAGTTTAGGCATTGCTGTCAGGATGCCAAGATCTCCCTGTTGTATGGTCCTTTTGGTCCAGAGTGAAATATTTGAACTGTAAGACCTTCTGTATATATTCATGGTTCCCTGAGAAGTAATCCTAATGACTTTGAGGGGTTTTATTTATTGCCATTAAGAAATTGACAAATGTTGGTTTTAGTCAAATGACTTGACAACTGTTAGATTAATCACAATGAAAAATGGTTGAGACATTGATGTAGCCCACAGAATTCTCAAAATGTCCATTTGTCCAATAAAAGGTTATGAAAAGCTTTGCAAAGGCTGCCTTTACTAAAAGCAATGGGGATTTTACCATTGGATTTTGAAAAATGGCAGAAAACAAGATCTCTGGCAAACACGCTTTTATGATATTTACACATTTTGTTCAGCAGGATAATCTCCACATATTAACACCCCTTTTATGATTTTGAAGTGTGAATGCAACTGCCAGAAGTAAAAAGCTATAAATAAACTACGTCATGGTCATCACGTACCTGCTGCTCGCGTTTCTAGATGAAGTTAAGGGGGAAATCGTAAACATCTTATCTGCTTAACATCCGCATGCTAACATTATCTTTATGATGACTTTAGCAAATTCTATTACATTGACCACCATTGTATTGGTGTAAGACATCGATTTAAAATGTTTAGATCTATTTTATTTGTTTTAATTGGTGGTGTCTCTTTACTGCATTTCTAACATGCTGATATGTTTTTCCTTGGATATTCAGTGGTTATGTTTCCATAGTTGCTTCTCTTTTGGTTCATCCTTTGCACCTATCACTACTTATGGTAAATGGTCAGGCTTTTTTTAACCAAATGTATGATTCCTGCTGCAAGCTTCCTGTGAATCAGGGGGATTCCCAGGGGAACCTCCTGTGAAACACATTGGGTGTTGAGGACAGAGAGCATTCATTGAATATATGTATGCTCAATCAGTAATGGGTTCCATCACATCAGCAACAGACAAGAAAATCTGACACATATTTATTTGAAAATGTCATGAATCATTACTTTTAACTCTGGTGCTCAGCCTCCATTCCAACAATACTTCAGCAGGAATCTCCTCTGTGCTCTGCTGGCTGCTTGCCCCTGCTGTACTGTGGAATAATAGCAGTGTAATGAGCAGGGTACCAGGCACCACATCTACCCAGCCAGACTGCTGCGGGCCGGCAGGTGCTGTGATGAAGGGGCTGTGGCGTTAGGGGGGCTATACATCTGATCTGTGTGTGTGTGTGTGTGTGTGTGTGTGTGTGTGTGTGTGTGTGTGTGTGTGTGGGTGTGGGTGTGTGTGTGTGTGTGTGTGTGTGTGTGTGTGTGTGTGTGTGTGTGTGTGTGTGTGTGTGTGTGTGTGTGTGTGTGTGTGTGTGTGTGTGTGTGTGTGTGTGTGTGTAATCATGGCAGGTCTGAAAAATGATTGTGGAGTCTGCTGTGTTTAATGAAACGTGGCAGTTATGGGAGAATGTAGCTTTCTTTGTGTCTATCTTAGGCACAGTTTGTTTGTGTGTGTGGGGGGCGGGGGGGCTGTGTGTGTGCTTGTTTGACATTTTTTATTATAATTCTTCCTTTGAAGAAAACAAAAAAGCAACAGCCACAAAGGGATACACATTCTTTATGAGCTTTTAAATATTCAGCAAAGTTTATATTAAATAAGACGGTGGAAAACATAAAGACTGGGTTAGAATTAAAGTAAATCTATTGGCTGATTGTTTTTGACAGAGCATCAATAGCAGTAGTTAGTAATTTTGCATATATGTAAACATAGTTTTTGGTGCATGTAGATAACCTGGTTGGTGGACAATATCATTCTAAACAGCACTGGCTTGTTCAGCAGAACAGTGTTTTTTTTTTTGAAGAAATAAATAAAACAATGAAAAAAAGCATTTTTTTAGTGTCAATTCAAGCGACATCCATCAGACTATGGACTATTAAAAAGTGCATGTCCCATTCCCTTGGGACAGAAAGTACATAATTTCTTTTAAATGGTAGGTCGAAAGACAAAAGTTTGCCATTATAGAGATACCTTAGCGTGGACCAAAGTATTGGATGTATTGACGGACAGACCTGCAGCCCGGCAACACCATTTGACCTAAATTGAATTGTTATTGTTATACAACTACATTTTGTAAGTATAAAATAATATAGGACCAGTTATCACTGCAGTATCGGCCTCTCCTGTTCACACAGGGTTAATAACATTCCGTATAGTGCACTGTACTTCATGTCATAGTGACCTGTAGAGCTGTGTCGGCTCACAAATACCTTCTACTCCGAGCCAACATGCATTCATCATCACTTAACACGTGTGTGTGTGTGTGTGTGTGTGGGGTGTGTGTTGTGTGGGTGTGTGTGTGTGTGGGTGTGTGTGTGGCCTAGCATTACTATACTTGTGGGGACCTAAATCTGTTTACACAGTCACGTGTGGGGACTCGCCTCCCTTATGGGGACAAATTGGAGGTCCCCATGAGGGGAATCATTAATTTTAGGGTGAAGACTTGGTTAGGTTTAGGGTTAGGGTAAGGCATGGGTTGGTTAAGGTTAGGATAAGTCTCCAGGAAATGCATGTAAGTCAATGTAATGTCCCCTGAAGTGATGTATACATGGTGTGTGTGTGTGTGTGTGTGTGTGTGTGTGTGTGTGTGTGTGTGTGTGTGTGTGTGTGTGTGTGTGTGTGTGTGTGTGTGTGTGTGTGTGTGTGTGTGTGTGTGTGTGTGTGTGTGTGTGTGTGTGTGTGTGTGTGTGTGTGTGTGTGGGTGGGGGGGGGGGGGGGGTGTATGTGTGTTCCAAGTGTTGTGGTTAGTGAGGCTCATTAAATGGGGTATCAGAGCGTTTCTGGGCCTTACTATTATTTCGGCGACATTGCCTCAGAGGTTTTATGGGCCTCTAGCAAATGGTGGGTCAGGGGTTCAATCCCCAGCCCCTGCAGTTGTACATGTCAAAGTGCCCTTTGCCAGAAATTGCTCCCAAAGGTATCTCTAAATGACATGTAAGGTCATTCTGAGTGACAGGAGAGAAGAATTTGAGTTTTCAAGTTTTCTGACTAACAGCTGATAAGAAATGTTTCAGTGGCCTTGGTCATCTTAGACTATGATGCTGTTTGGTTCTCTGTGGCCCTTTGTACTCACTATGGGGAGCAGGAGGAGGGAGGGGAGGTGTGAGGGAGTAAGGATGGGGAGGAAGAGAAAGAGGAGGGAGTCAGTAACACAGGGAGATAAAGAGCGACGAGGCGAGGTGCAGGAGAGGAGGAAAAGGAAGTGTATGGGAGTACAGCTTGAAGAGGAAGAGCAGATAGGCCCGTTCCCAATGTTCACGCTCTGCACAGAACCAAACAGCACCTGCCGAATAGATACTAGATTCCCTGTTTACATTCTTATCTTGGAAGCATTGTTGTAATGGTGTTGCCACATTCACATTCATTTACGAAACATTTATTTAATCAATAAGGCCTTTAGCGAATACTTCACCCATAAAATGATCGTTTGTTTATCTTTTAATCAGCCTGTTTTATTTTCGATGCGAGATAAAACCGTGATATTCTCGCATGCCTCCACGATAAACAGGGAATCCAAAAATTAGAAACGTTTTGAGGAATTTAAATAAATGGTTAATCGTTTAAGAAAAACTACGTAAAAACGATCTATTTACTTCCACATCAACTGTATCATGAGTTGCACAGGCTACTTCTTGTTTGATTGTTTTAAATAGTAAGGTTTTAGTGAAAACTAAAGGTGGTAAGAATATTTGATAAATGGGACTTGGAATATTCTGCAGGAGTTTGACATTTTGTGAAATAATCTTTGAATATAGTTTTGCTATTGATGACGGCCCCATTTACTTCAATGGATCAATAATTTACTCCCATTGTGGTTTCTTTCTTCTTCCGACGCATGCGATAGAAACAACTTTTTCTTCATGAATTCAAGGTAAACCTGGGCGAGTTCTTTTATATAAATGGTCATTTTTAGGGTAAAGTATTCCTTTAATCATAGTGATAAGGATGTATTGGTAGAAGAACCATGATCCCTGACTTAGGTGTCCCAGCTAAAATACCAAGATATGTATGGATAACATAAGTAAAGGAGCGTCAGTTTGATTAACACCGTGTATATCACTGACGTAGTCGTCCTGTCTCTCCTCCTGTATGTGGAAACAAAGAGCACCTTATGACGCCCGGCCGTGTACCGCACATTCCCTCTGCAGCAGCACAGGATGCAAACTCCCATCCTCCTCGTTTGGTTAGACAGACTGAAATATAACACATTTCATATTTAGACAAGAGCTTTCTGTTTCTCTGTGTGTTATCATAAGAAGATACGAGAGGCAACACTGGCAGCTGCGTCACACAGAGCAGGCTTTGTTCTGCCCGATACAGTATGTCAAAGTTGTTTTTTCTCACTAGCCTCCACAGTGAAAAATAAACCAAAGAAGGAAAGTAAATCAGGCCAGCACTTAACAACATACATGTTACTGTAGTACCTAAATATGTAAGGATGATCATGAAGTTAGATTGCTAATTGTTTTAGATTTTCAGTTTGATATCATTGTAACTTAAATGTCTTTGGACAAAATTAAGTAATTCTAAGACTTTATATTGTTTTGATGATTCATTGATTATGAAAAAATATTATCAACAGTTATGAAAAATACTTCAAATGTAGGCCTATTAGATTAGAGTACATTTATGTATGGTAAAGGTAACATTACACATGGCTGATGTTGATCGATAGGAAGGAGTTCACTTCTAGGGTAACCTCCTCTGCTAGCTTGCGCTGCTAAATACAGCTGTTATCTGATTGGTTGCACGTCGAAAGGTCAGCAGTTACTAGTTCAAATTTGAAATAATAGGAACATTGGGCAATTTGGAGTCGGGTAGCAACGCTCTCTTGATAGAAACGCAACGACAGCGCAGAGCCGCCTTACTGCGTATCATGTAAATGCAGCTTCAGGCTATGCTAGCATGCTAACAACCTTGAAGTGCAGTATATTGACAATCCTAACTTGTTTAGCTGCTATCGGGTTTACTATGTTCACCAACTTAGTTAAGGGTGTTAGCATGTTAACATTTGCATAATATTACTACAAAACTACAGTTTAGTTTAATAGGAATGTTTTGTTGCGTGTTATTTGTAATTTTTTAATTATTTGTTATTTGTATTTGTAATGTAACAGTTAAACAAATTAAAATAAAACATGATAAACGGTTAAAGCATTTTAATTCATGCCAAGGGGAAAATCATCTTGTGGAATCATTTTCATGCCAAATATTGAAGACAGGATTTCTCAACTCTTGAAAGAAAAAAAAAACACAACTTAGAAAATACTGCACAGCACCAAGATGACCAGGCATCTACATTCATCCAGATAGTTACATGGTTTTATTAAGTAAATGTACACATTTCTTCGATATCAGTTTAAATGTAAACACATCCTCCTGTGCCAGCTGATTTGCCAACTTATGTCTTTCCCTCTTGTGTCAGTGTTTAACCTCTTGCACCAATTGTTTAACACACGCATGCATGAACAGTGGCCCACACACACACGCACGCACACACACACACACACACACACACACACACACACACACACACACACACACACACACACACACAACTTGGTTCTCCTTAACTACTAATGATTGCTCTGTGTTTTGCATTATTGGCTGTGTGACAAGGTGAACATGTTTGAATAATGATACCTTCACGATGCAGTAAAACAGCAATTCATTCTCTATATGTCTGTCAGTGTGTTGAATTGTATGGATTAATGGCATTGAATCATGTTGTTGCATTTTGTTATTACGTCTCATAACCTGCTAGTTTGGCTGCAAAACAATGTAAGAGTTGTGTCAATGTTCTAATGTTTAGGTAAAGGAACTGTTGTTTAACTTTATTTATTTCTAATTTCCCTTTCTTGCAGCCATGCAGCAGGCTATGACAGTGAACCCAACACCCCCATGTTGTACAGCTGCAGCACCCAGTACCGCATACACACACATGGAGTGTTCAGGGGCTTACAGGTAGGACTCATACATCACTTCTACGTGTTGCTTTTTTTCTTCTTTACCAGAGTTGGGATGTTACCAAGTACATTTACTCAAGTACTTTTACAATTCGGAGCTACTTGTACTTTACTTGAGTATTTCAATGCAATGCTACTTTATACTTCTATTCCACTACATTTAAAAGGGAAAACATGTAATTGTACTCCACTCCATTTGTTAAACAGCTTTAACCCACAAACTTAAGCTAGTGGACTAACTCTTTAAGTCACAAGATTACATATAAATATAATGATATACACACATAAAGTATATTTTTCTGCACTTTGATTACTTTTACCTTTTATACTTTAAGTACATTTAGCTGATAATACTTTACTTTGACTTAAGTAAGATTTGAAATAGAGGACTTGACAATAATGTATTGGTACTTTTATTCAAGTAAAGCATCTAGATACTTCTTCCACCTCTGCTCTATAATATCGAATGGTCATTATACTGTAAGGCCACAAGGACTTTTTATTTTCAGATTGTTCTCTTAATAATTCCACAAAGGTTCCCTTGTAGAGACACCTAACAAAGACTTGAGGAAAAATGCATCGATGACAGAAAAAAGAACATCTTTTTGGAAGACGTAGATGAGTGGTGGAGGGCCTTATGCAATGACCAGGCCATGTGAAGAGGAAATACTCTATGTAGCAGAGATTTACAAATACCTGCACACACACAAACACGTTGCATACACACATGCAGGTTTTTTTTTTTGTAAGTCAGCTCCAGAGGCCAAGAGCAATCTTTTTCCACAAATCCATTAGCAGTGGAGAAACAGACACACATGGAGGTACACTGGGTAGAGATTCCGTTTCCATTCGAGGATCAGCATGTTAATAAATCATTAGATCTTAATTATTGTCTGTCAGCAGCTGCAGGGAGCAGAGATTCTCCAGACCTGCTCTCTGTCCACAGCAGGGCTTTCTGAGATATTTCATTCTTTCCTTCAGGTCCCTGTTTCATCATTCAGCCTGCCCCTTTTCTTTCTTTCCTCCTTTTTTTCTTATGGTAATACAAAATCACACAAAATATGGGATCTGGCTCAGTGCAAAAGAATAAATAATACTGATTATTATGCCTTTACAGTAGTTTAAGAGTTGGTAATAAGCGAGATAAAATATTAAGTTAGAATGTGATGCTTTTCTACAAATTAAAACCTAAAGGGATTCAAATATTTCTCAATAACTGTCAAAGGGAAAACAGATAACAGCAATGGAATTGAATTTTTCATTAACATTGATGCTCGTCCCTGCCTCACTCCTCATCGCTCCCATGTAGTTGTAGCGGAGCTCGGCCAATTTGCTGATTTTGACTATAAAAAGCGATTGGAATCAAACAGAAATCACACTTACAACACAGATCAGTGGAGACATGTTATTATTATTACTATTTAGTTTTTCTTTAGTTGTTTTTCCGTTACATTGGAGTATGACAGGAGAGGCTCTGCCTCCCCTGACTGCACGTCGCTGATATATAGGCCTATAGTATAGGCTATATATATGTAGCCTATATATAATAGTTTGTTAAATCTTAGAATATGTTTCAAATGATTTTAGTCATAACAATGAGAGTTTCAATTCCTTTTAGATTTTTGATAGTTGCATACTAACCCCTTCAAAGCTTTTTTATTTGATAATAGCCATTTTAAGCAAGCTCAACTGCTAGGAATTTTAGCCTGTTAGCACCTGTTAGCTTGAGCAACTAGAGGCTGTTGTTGTAAATAAACACACTGACACAGAAAACCTCTGACTTCACATGCTAACTTCTTCACCACTTTACCAGCGGCGCAGGGCTGTGAATGTTAATTATTCCTCTGAATCAACGCGAAAAGCCAGTAGCCTACTAACAGTGTTAGCTTGTTCTGTGTTTCAAGGTTAGCTTGGCTGTGTGTTAATAGAGAGAGTCATTTTCTGTGGTGCTTTAGCAAACAAATAGAAAAAGATGAATGTTCGCATGTCGGATTGATAATAAGTGAAAGGGTTTGTTTGAAAAAAACGTATAGTGCAGATCCAAAGCTTTAAAAACAAAAACAGGTCTATATTTCATACATATTTATTCTATTTCTGACAGAATTTTTTTTTCTGTTGTTAGTTTTTTTACATGCAATCAAGGTTTTTTCATAATGATATTATATTATACAATTATATGATAATAATCATTTTTATTTTACTACTAATTTTGTAGACAATAAAAAAATTAAAGGAAAATATAAACACATTTGTAGTTAATTAATAATATATTATTTTACCACAATGACAACTCATTTGGAGAATAGTGTAATAAAGTAAGAAGAAAGCCGATGTTATCCTCCAAAGAAGGACAAAAGAAGAACATTTGTTATTTCTGTTATTGTTCTGCAGCAGCCTGTGATGGGTCGCTCGGTTAAAAGGCGTGACTAACAGCTCCCTCTGGGCTGCAGTCAGACTGGGGTCATTTTACTGCTAATTCCCATCTAATGAATACATGATCATCGTATTATAATGATCCCCATGAGCCAGACACATCACATGCTCTTATTTACACACAGGACAGATTTAATTGCCTGTTTTCTGACATTCTACTGGGTCAATTATCGACGTTCAAGGAGAGCTTTTGTTAATTTCACTTTGAGTGTTTTGGCTTTAAATGATGTGTGTGTGTGTGTGTGTGTGTGTGTGTGTGTGTGGTGTGTGTGTGTGTGTGTGTGTGTGTGTGTGTGTGTGTGTGTGTGTGTGTGTGTGTGTGTGTGTGTGTGTGTGTGTGTGTGTGTGTGTGTGTGTGTGTGTGTGTGTGTGTGTGTGTGTGGGTGTGTGTAGGATGTGCGGCGGGTGCCTAGCATTGCTCCAGCCATCGTGCGGTCAGAGAGCAGCGAGAAGCGTCCCTTCATGTGCGCCTACCCAGGATGCAACAAACGATACTTCAAGCTGTCTCACCTGCAGATGCACAGTCGCAAACACACAGGTGAAAGCAACAGAAATGTAACACATGTACTATATAACTACTTTCAGGTTTTTCTGTTGTGTAAAACTGTTTAGGTGATGTCTCCAATGGCCCCAATTTCCTGATCTGCTTTCGCCAGAAAAGACTCGCTAGGATGTGGGATTGGTTTATTTAACTGTCAAAATGAAGAGCCAGTGTAGCTTTAGCGTTACTTTGATATTCTAAAGGTGTAAAACACAACTCTGTAGCTAACACCTGGTCAGAAAGAGTCCCATCTCAAAGATATTCAATTTACATCAAATACAAAGAGAACCAGGGTAACACTTTATAAAACCATCAATAATCAACTGTGGATTTATATTTAAGTGTATTATTATATATTTAAGTTAATCGTTTATTAGTTATGACTAATGCTATAATTTATGTTATTTTCAAAGTGTTTTGTTGTTATACTATATACTATAATAATTATATGTTAATAAATACCTAATGATAAACATCTATATACATTATAAAGATAGTGGGACCAGATATTTATTGCACATGTTGTAACTGGTTTTTAAACTTCTTAACCTTTTTGTGATGACTATTTTAAAGTTTCACATGGTGAATAAAATACTTTGTTAAAAGAATTGCATTAAAAAAGCATTGTGTGAGAATAATTTGGTTATAATAACAAATACTTAAAATAGTATTAAATGCATGAAACAATACACTGTTATTACCAAGGGCGGACTGGGACTAAAAATCAGCCCGGGAATCTCACCCAGCCCAGCCCAGCCCACGTAAACTATCAACGGTGGACGAGCCTCGCTGCGGGGAAACGGTGGACCTAGTGGCCCGATCGGTGTGGGCCGAGTGACCCGACCGGCCCACTTCGGTACCGGCCCATCGGGATTCGTCTCGAACGTCCCGATGGCCAGTCCGCCACTGGTTATTACATAGTTTATTTATGTTATACGTTACCATAATGTAATTGTTATTGTCCCTTATCATTTATGATACAAAATATACTCTATAAACAAAGTATTTCATATTACACAAGTATGCAGTGGTGCAGGAATGAGTCCTAAACCCTGGAAATGTGTTAGCATTTTACCACTTCCACTGGTGAATGTTCAAAGCTTCCTTGTGTCAAAAAATCTGTGATTGCTAAGAACTCACTCAATGAGACTAATGGTAAATGGACTGTACTTATATAGCACTTTATCAGGTCTTGGACCCCTTAAAGCGCTTTACATACTACAAGTCATTCAGCCATTCACACCTCATTCATGCAGAGCAGGACTTGCTCTGGGAAGCTAACACTCACACACATTCAGACATTGTGGCCATGCTATCGGGAGCAACTCAGGTTTAAGTATCTTGCCCTTTTCAAATGACGATGTATAGAATTGTCTGTGTCTCTGGTCTTTGTCCAGGGGAGAAGCCCTACCCATGTGACTTCACAGACTGTGGGCGGAGGTTTTCTCGCTCCGATCAGCTGAAGAGACACCAGAGGAGACACACAGGTTCGATCAGTTCCACACAATCTGTCATTGTTTCCCTTTCACTTCTTACTATTTATTCTCTCCACTTGCTCTCCTCTCTGTTTGCATGACGGCCATTTTGTGGACAATGCAGTTCCTTGAAATGCACATTTCATTGTGTGTACACTACAGTGTTGCACTACACACTGAACTCCTTCAGATACAGTTGCTAAAGGCTGGACAAACTGTGGAATGGCTTCTTGCAAACCTCTGCTCTACTGTATTCTTCTATCTCCCTGTCTGTGTGTGTGTGTGTGTGTACGTGTTTGTGTGTGTATATGAACATGTTTGTGTACTGTGTGTGAACTGTGTGTGAACTGTGTGTGTGTGTGTGTGTTTGTGTACTGTGTGTGTGTACATGTTTGTGTTTGTGTGTGTATATGAACATGTTTGTGTACTGTGTGTGAACATGTTTGTGAACTGTGTGTGTGTGTGTGTGTGTGTGTGTGTGTGTGTGTGTCTCTGTCTGTATGTGTGTGTGTGTGTGTGTGTGTGTGGGTGTGTGTGTGTGTGTGTGTGTCTGTCTGTATGTCTGTATGTCTCTGTGTGTGTGTGTCTGTCTGTGTGTGTGTGTGTGTGTGTGTGTGTGTGTGTGTGTGTGTGTGTGTCTGTCTGTATGTCTCTGTGTGTGTGTGTGTCTGTGTGTGTGTGTGTGTGTGTGTGTGTGTGTGTGTCTGTCTGTATGTCTCTCTCTCTGTGTGTGTGTGTGTGTGTGTGTGTGTGTGTGTGTGTGTGTGTGTGTGTGTGTGTGTGTGTGTGTGTGTCTGTCTGTATGTCTCTGTGTGTGTGTGTGTGTCTGTCTGTATGTCTCTGTGTTGTGTGTGTGTGTGTGTCTGTGTGTCTGTGTGTGTGTGTGTGTGTGTGTGTGTGTGTGTGTGTGTGTGTGTGTGTGTGTGTGTGTGTGTGTGTGTGTGTGTGTGTGTGTGTGTGTGTGTGTGTGTGTGTGTGTGTCTGTCTGTATGTCTCTGTGTGTGTCTGTGTGTCTGTGTGTCTGTGTGTGTGTGCATGCATACTGTACATGTGTTTAGGAGTTAAACCGTTCCAATGCGAGACGTGTCAGAGAAAGTTCTCTCGGTCTGACCACCTTAAGACACACACCCGGACTCATACAGGTAAAACAAGTGCGTAAACTTTTATTTTTCCATTTCTTACTCAATATTTGATGTGTATACATTGCAAAACATTACAAGTAAATTCATTTTAAAACATACTATTAGATGAGTGATATAGTAGATAGTGTTAAACGTATTTAGTCCATTTCCTTTAGGTTATAATCACCATATTATTCTAATATTTCTCTGCTTTTTCCCTTTTTCCCTTTATTTGATGGTTTTTCCATCCTTTCTCCAAATGCTACTTCCTCCTTTTCTCTTTGTGTACCCTCCTCTCCACTTCATCCTCTGTCTCCTCCATACTGTCCATCATCAGGCGAGAAGCCGTTTAACTGTCGGTGGCCCAACTGTCAGAAGAAGTTCGCCCGGAGTGATGAGTTGGTGCGACACCACAACATGCACCAGAGGAACCTCACCAAGCTGCAGCTGGCCATCTGAAGCCTCCGTCAGCCCGTATCACATTTGAAATGTAAACATGTTGGTTACATCTGCTTATATTTTCTGTCTATGGTTAATCCAAACCTGGTGACCCCATTTGCACCCGAGAAACTAGCCCACTGCGAGCTGGAACCAGAGGAGTCCTAATGGGTCTCTTGAAAAAGTGAATAGTTTTACACCATTAGGACTTGTGGAACTAGATACCACAGTATACACTCTGAGTGGAAAGTCTTAACATGTAAACAATATCTGGATATGAAATCTAAATACATGCAGCGCTTAGAATAAAAAAAATAAAGCTGAATATATTCCATATTTTTATTATAGCCGACAAATCCCATTAAAAGACCAAGACCAGTAATACTTTAGATCGTGTTTAGACGACATTAATACATTAAATGGCACCACTTTGTTGATAGAGTGGGTTGCCAAAGAAGAGGTCAAATCAGTTGTAAGATTATTTATTATAGTATTCAAGTCGCATTGCTTTTTGTTTTTTTAACAGCGCTGTTTTTGCTGAATTTGTTCCTACTGAAGATGTAAATCTTACAAAAGGGGTAAAAAATAACTATATGTAATATATTTTTATATTTAATAAGGCTAATCTTGAATCTTACTCAAACAGATGTAAATATTGCATTGGAACTACTTTCAGCTGCAGGTAAACTGCATAACGTACATTTGGCTTAAAATAAATGACATGTCTATGGCCATGTTCATTGTGGAATATTTGTTGTTGTTCTTAATATTTCAGAACAACAGTTCAAGTCTTTGACATCATTTTTATTAAAGATCCCTATTGTGATTGTTGTGTTGTTCCCTTCACTGTAGTGTGTTATTTAGGTTTCTGTGCATGTGAATGGTCAGAAAGTTTCTCTCCCACTCACTCCGCCCGAGGACTGGGACGTTTCCGACACCTCTCTAATCGACTGACCAATCACAATAGATCCCACCAGCTAACCAATCAGAGCAGACTGGGCTCTGGTTTCAGACAGAGGGTGAAAAGAGGTGCTGCAGCACAGGCAGCATGAGAACAATAAAGAGCTTTTGGAACATTAAAGCATGGAGACATGTCACAGTACAATACAAATATGAACCTGGAAATTAGCATTATATGTCCTATTTAATAGGATTCATCCATTTTTGGTTTTGGTCTTTTCATGGGATTTAATAATTAATAACATCCAGAATATCCCCTCACTTATCCTATGAAGAAATATGTCCTCATTCTGAATTATAGCATCATAAAGTGAGTCAGCAAATATGAAAAGAGTGTCGTTTTTCTGTTTACCAGTCTCCACAGGCAAAACATGCATTTCTTTTACGGAGGATTCCATATCCAAGTGTTGGTATCTTTGCACTTCAAGACTATCTAATCTCAAGCAGAAATGTTTCAATCTAATCAATCGTTTTATTTCATTCATCCGTTGTTATTTCTTGGCAACTTCTACCACCATGTGTACAGTGAGGTCAAAGGTCAGCTACATATACGCCCCTGTAGCTTAGCATCTTTTAGCTGTAAATATTTCTTATGTTAATCTGGGAAGGCTTATTTATTATCTTCATGTGGACAAAATAGCTTTCACTCGAATAAAGTAGTGAGATGTTTTTTTTTCAAGTAGTGAGGTGTTTTTTTATGCCTTTAATTATAGTTTTTTTTGTCATAAAAGATATTGCTGGGTTTGATTTAAAGAAATACAAATAAGTGAATGATTTGCACTCTGAGAAATGTTTGCAAAGTAGGCTTCTGGTGTCTGGTTAGGATAGAATACGCATTGCAAACACAAATATGCCATGAGGCTGTTTTTAAAAAGCTTTTTTATTTTTTTGAGTAATGATTTAATTAGTAATTAGATTTGTCTTTCTTCTCAAGCTCTTGCTTGTCTCTGTGGTGTGTAAATATTGCTGGACTTCTAAAATATGTCTGTTTTGTCACACTGGCTCTGTGGCCGGGAAGATGTAAATAATACTTCTACACCATGGGAACTGAACTCTTTCCATGGGGGGATAAATATGTAACTTAACTGATATATTTTACACTTTTCTTTGGATGGATCCAGGAAGTGTTTATACTTCATTTCTCCTTCTTTCATGTGTCTTTGAGTCATAAAAAAGCAAATGTCAGTGAAGCACTTTGTACTCAAAAGTGTGAAAACAACTGTTTTTTCTCTGTTTAAATGTAATGTGACTGTTTTAATATAGTTTCCCTCTGTGGTCTTTATTTATACATTTGAAAGTTTCTTTATGGTTTAATAGTAAGCACAATGTATTTACTAGTTAGTTTCATAGTATAATCGTCAAGTCTGCAGTATAAAAATGTCAACTCCCCCTCACACACAACGTTTTTTAAATCCATCCTTATGAGGGATCACATTTTGTTGTGGAATGTGCCACTACCTTGAAGTTACAACATGTGGTACAAAAAAAGATGTGGCAAAGACTAATCCAAACCTACATCAGCTGACCTTGACCAAGGTCTCGTACCATAACAAACACGAGAATCTTTTCTTTTTTTCCTGCAGGATATCCTGTCTTGTTTGTGACTAAAACGACACTTTTCTATTAAAAAACAGAATCAAAAAAATAAATATTGAAAAGTAGGTTTATGAGCGAGAAGACAAAAGCACTAAAAAAAGCACTACAAAAATTCATTGACATAAACAGTTGTACAATCAGCACACACACACACACACACACACACACACACAGTACCATCCACTTTCCTCTCTTTATCTCTCACCAGATTCCTCATTGCATTCCTTGGCTCTCAAAAAGAAGAAGCCGTAAAGCCAGATAAAAAATGAATGTTTTTTCTCTCTCATGCTGTTACTTCTAATTCCTTTTCCACCATTAGCTCCTGCTTTAAAATGTTTTACCCTTTCGACCTTCGGCTTCACAATAGCTTATGAGAATCCATTTTAGGGAGGAAATGTCGTCAGTAAGATGACAGTTAACAACACTCACATGCATGAAAACAATAACTCAAAATGTTCTCAACCAAAAGTTAGTTTTTATGGAGGGATGAAGCAACAGAGCCGAAAACAGACATAGACAGATGGAGGTACAGATGGATAAAGAAAGATACAGCAATGTTTCTTTTGTGAACTTTTATCGTAAGTTTAGCCAAAGTGTTAGTGTAAATCAGACAACGTGTCCGATTCCCTCTGTGGAAATCCCCTGAAACTCCCCAGGGCTCTGGTGCTATATCTCAGCTGTCGGACAAAGCCTATATCTCTCATCTCTCTGGTGTGTGTGTGTGTGTGTGTGTGTGTGTGTGTGTGTGTGTGTGTGTGTGTGTGTGTGTGTGTGTGTGTGTGTGTGTGTGTGTGTGTGTGTGTGTGTGTGTGTGTGTGTGTGTGTGTGTTTTGGTGGTTCATCTCAGTCCCAGCCTCATGCCGCTGAAGGTCTTTGAAGAGAGAGCTGGTCAGTGTAACTGTGGTTTTGTCCACTTTTAGAAGTCGCATAACATGCTGTATCTAAATGTTCTACTTAGAGCAGATAATGAAAACATGGATTAGGGCCCCTTGAAAAATACTGAGGATAGAAGAACCCATCTTGAGGTTGCCAAGTACAGTAAAAACAACTTTTGTAGTGTTCAGTGAATAAGAATTACACCTTACTTATTTCAACCTGCTAGCAACTAGCTCAACTTGATGTTTTAGAAACAGCAGTAAAACTATAGTGCTAATTATGTAGCCTGTTTGCTAAAAACAACCCAAAAGAAATGTGACAGCAGCTATAATAGATATTTTGGTGAAAGGGGTTGCTTAAAGTGAATCTTAAGAAAGTTGTCACCCAAACCATTGGTTAGCTAATTTGCTATAATGTTCTGGTTTGACATTTTTTAGGCGTATTTCCAGCCAAAAAGCTTTAAAGTCACAATCTTGAAGATCTTCATTCTGTGTTTTTTCAAGGTACCAATGGCAATACCAGGTTATTTCTGGTGTGTTCTTGGAACAAACTTTCCCTGAAATGTCGCGGCAGGCGCCCAATTCGTAATACAATAAATGCAAGGGCTTTCACAAGTGGGCAAAGGCTCATGAACCATTGTGTTCAGTAGTGAATAATGCCTTAACAGACAATCATATCAATTAAAATCTGTAAGATTGTTTCTTAAAAACTAAACCTCTCTGTAGTTACTGTATTTTACCCGGCTAGCAATTCAGCGAATAAGAATTACACCTTACTTATTTCAATCTGCTAGCAACTAGCTCAACCTGTTGTCAGTCACAGCTATAAAGCTAGCGTGCTAATTATGTAGCCTGTTTGCTAAAAACAACACGCAAAATAATGTATTAGCAGTTTTTTAAACGGGGTTTCTTTAAGTAACCCTGAATAAAGTTGTTACCCACACCAGTGTAAGCTAAACTGTTATGGTTTACTTATAGTGATATTTTAGGCGTATTTTGCAGCTAAAACGCTTTTTAGGTTACAATCTTGAAGACCTTCTTTCCGAGGTCTTTGACGCCACCAATGTCGATAGCGTATTTACTGCTGTGTTCTTGGATCTTCCATTTCCTTCCTTCGTAACTCCACTTTAGATGTGAGTATAATTCAAAAGATGTCATGATTTTCCGAGATACACATTTTAAAAGTGAAGATAGAGCAAGATAAAAAATAAATAAAGTGATAAACATTGCGTGAGTAAAGCAGCATCAGAGTAGGAGGGATGAAAAGAAACTGGGGGAAGGAGTAAAAGACAGGAAAAAAAAGAGACATCCTCTGCGGTCATGTTGTTCTGTGGAGATGATACTGTGGATGTTTAGATCCTGGTACGGCTCAGTACAACCCATTCCCCTGAAGCTGAACACACACACACACACACACACACACACACACACACACACACACACACACACACACACACACACACACACACACACACACACACACACACACACACACACACACACACACACACACACACACACACACACACACACACACTGGAAGTGCTCAGTGCAGTTTGTTTCTCAAGAGGCTGCATTCCTTCACTACTGTCACATACTCGAGTTACTCCAAGAGGATAAATGCTGACATGAGTAGAGCAAAGCCACAGCAGGAGACATTTATCTTAAAAAGTGATGAGTAAACAGAAAATATGATAATCTTTGGGTATTTAGCCTATGATTTCCATCATCTTAAGACCTTACTTAACATCAGTAAAATAATAATTACCTTAAAAAGAGGGGATTGGCACGCAGCCTTTACCTGCAGCTTCTCTGTGTTTTTCATTGTGTGCCCTGGGTAGAATTTGGAGGAAAATATGTTTTATTGCTTGATGGCACAAAACAGAAGGCAATGTTTCACCAGCCCAGACATGTTGACAGTTTCAGGCAGCGGCACATAAAAGGAGCTAAAGGCTGATGGACAAATCACTTCCGACGTGGTTATCCTCTTCTGGAAAGCCAAGAGAACAACAAGCCAACTCTTAGCAATGGATGTGAGACCTTTTTCAGCCTGTCTCCTAAATATTAAAGAAGGGATTATATGTGCGTCTATGAAGGCCACACGGCTGAAAGTAAGCATGTTTGTTTGACACGGTCAGAATAAATTGGGGAAATTGAGCTACGTAATGGGAACATTATTTTGTAGGAGACAGGATTGCCTTCGGTCAGGTAAACATCAAGCAAAACATCTTTAAAAAGGATAAAGAAGTGTCCCAGTGTCAGCTTGAAATGCTTTAACCAGACTGATTAGCAACAATACACATGCACAAATCACACACTCTTGCATTTCTTCAATATACCTGGTTTGGATTTATACTTCTTTTTTAAAGTAACATACAGTATAATGATTATTATCATCTCAGAGAGGTACATTAATAATACTGACATGCCCATAAATATGAAAGATATGGAGGCAAACATATCATTATAAGTTATGGTAGTAGATAATTAGGTTGCATACATTACAACCATCCAGTCTTTAAGTTTGAACAAATATATTAAATGATGGGCCCTAAGAGGCAAAATAAGGTGTTCAAATATTCTGCCTTATTAAAATAAAGAAAATATGTTATGTGCAATCTAATCTTTGTAGAACTATGTCATACTTGCTCATCAGTGCACAACAATTTTAATGTTTTGGATGCTTTTGTGGTATTCTAAAGATAATCCCTCGTTTAAAAAAATCCCCTTTGTGGATTAACATTGTGAGCACTCATTGTGATGTAAAAGTCAAATGAAACAGTTACATAAATAATTGAAATAAATGGTATCCAACCCAAATGGTTAACACACAGTACACTGAGGCTCCCACTGAAGCTCATATTTGAAATCTGCTCAGACAGAAGAAAGCAGACAGAGGGAAAGGAGGCCGATGCACTGCAGGGGTCAAAGAGGTCAGGGCACACGTGCAAGACATCTTCAAATCATATGATCGATATGTCTACACGCCAGCTGCTATTTTGCTGTATCCTCTCACATGTGATGGCTTCTTAGCGGTGTGAGGGAGAAGAAGGTGGACCACAGACAAAAACAGAAGAGAATGATGAGATGTTATCAGACAGTATTTGATGTGCTTTTCCCTCCTGTCTCTGTGCAAGATCTTCGGGAGAACGTTAACCTTAAAACAGAATATTTCATGCTCAATTGATTCTAATAAATTGTGAAATAACGAGCATGACGACTGAAAGTCTCTGTGTACCCAATGGTTAGTGCATTCATTCCAAGGAAACTACATTTCCCATGACTCTTGTTGTCTGCTGTAGCACACAGAGAAGGTTTTTTTCTGGAGATAACTTGTGGAAAATGTAACTCCTGTTGGGCTGAACGGCAGCAAACTCATCTTGAGTATCATGACAAAGCATCGCCTTGTAGTCAGCAGCAGTGCAGGTGTGTTTCCTCAGGCTTGACTTGGATGATGAAATGATTTAGTTAAGAAATGTCCCCACGTTTCAGCAAGTTAAAGGGCAGTTCATTTTTGTGTTGTTGCTATTTTCCTTAAATCGGCTGAGGCCTGCACACACACTGCATGGAGGCACATTTAGTCTCTACCTCCACCTGGTGGTCTGTGACATTATCTTTAAATGTGTCAAGTTGAACCATTAGAGAACATTTGAGAGATCAGGATACCACATTATTAATATATATATACAGTACCAGTCAAAAGTTTGGACACACCTTCAAATTCGAACTGTTTTATTTATTTAAATATTTTCTACATTGTAGATTTATACTGAAGACATCAAAACTATAAAAGAACACATATGGAATTATCTAGTGAACAAAAAAGTGTTAAAAAATCCAGAATATGATTTATATGTTTCTGGCTACTGCAGAATGCTGTGGTAGCCATCTGAATTATTCACCAACAGTGTCACCAGCAAAGCCCCCCCCCCCCCATACCCTCTCACTTCCTCCTCCATGCTTCCCAGTGGGAACACACATGCAGAAACCATCCGCTCACCTTCTCTGCATCTCACAAGGACACGGCGGTTGAAACCAAAAATCTCAGATTTGGACTCATCAGACCAAAGTACAGATTTCCACTGTCTAATGTCCAATCCTTGTGTTTCTTGGCCCAAACAATTCTCTTCTTCGTGTTGTTCATCCTCAGAAGTAGATCTTTACTCATGAGAGCCAGTTTCATCATAGCGTTCGATGGTTTTTGCGACTGCACTTGAGGATAAATTCAAAGTTCTTGACATTTTCCGGATCGACTGGCCTTCATTTCTTAAAGTGATGATGGACGGTCGTTTCTCTTCACTGAGTTGAGTCGTTCTTGCCATAATATGGATTACAACAGTAGTCAAATAGGGCTTTCCACTGTGCACTAACCCTACCTCTGCACAACACAACTGATGGTCTCAAACACATTCAGAAGGCAAGTCATTCCACAAATGGACTCTTGACAAGGCACACGTGTTAATAGAAAACCATTCCAGGTGACGACCTCATGAAGCTGACTGAGAGAAGCCAAGAGTGTGCAGAGCTGTCATCAAGGCAAAACAGGGCTACTTTGAAGAATCTAAAATAAAAATCATATTCAGGATTTTTTAACACTTTTTTGTTAACTATAATTCCACATGTGTTCATTCATAGTTTTGATGTCTTCAGTATTAATCTGAAAAGTAGAACACAATTAAAATAAACAAAAACCATTGAATGAGAAGGTGTGTCCAGACTGGTAATTCCATGTAATCCATTCATATTCGTTTAATGAAACATTTTGACTTATTTAATGTTTTGTTTTTCAATGTGAAGAAAGCTGCTTTTTTTCCAAATGTAATGCTTATCCCCAACGATTTGAGGTCTGTTCCTATTTTTTCTAATTGTTTATTAAGTCAAGACATTTATTGAAATCATGACACGTGTCTTTCTGTCTTCACAACAAGTCAAGTAACCTCGTCTGGTTTCCCATCTTTTTCTGTTGAACCAGGCCATAACATCTGTGTGTGTCATTGTGTGTCTCTTTACATGGTTATTGTTTATTTAATTGAAGTCTCTTAGCTCATGTTGTCTGCCCTGTGGTCACTCAGTGTCTCTTTGGAATTGTTTGTGTCTATGAAGTTGTTTTGTGTCAATCTCCAATTATTTTTGTCTTTGTCTTTTGTCATTTTATATCTTTATGTAGTCGTTTTGTGTACAATAAAGGTTGCTTCGGGGCCCCTGATACTGTGGGCGGTGGGCCCCTGTACTCCATAGGACTGTTCAGTAATCCACCCATATCCATCACTTTCCAATCCACTGAAACACAAACCCGATCTGCACCTTTACCGTAATGACTGTAAAACTCTCAGTAACAACTCTTTTACAATCTAACCACAGTTTAAATGTTGCAATAGTTCATAACATAATAGCCTATGGATTTAAACAACCACTCTTAGTTTCACTTTCATTTATCTTGAAAGCTAACACACGCAACAGTGTGACTCTCTCTAGCTTTAGCTTTCGTTTTCCGAGGCTCACAGCTGATCTGAAGTCTGCTTTGTGCGGGATCAGTCAGCTGGGACTCGGCAGGTGTGTGACAACATGTTTTCCTGGGGGGAGGACAGTCAGAGGGGCTTCAGGTTAAAAGATGACTCAGACACGGTCCCCCCTACAGCAGAGGGGCTCCATCATCTCCAGCTCGGGTATCACATCACGGCTCTGTCTGCGGGGCGCACTGTGCTCGCTTTCCTCAAAAGTAATGGCAACGCGTTCATCATCCCCATCAGAGAGAGCCCAGCTGGGAGCAGAGTGAGAGGAAAACAGGGTGAGTGTTAGTACAGATACTCTTCTGACTCTATGATTCATAACACCATGTTAACTTTTACCAGCTCAGCTCGTGTAAAAGCTGTATTGGCGGAGAAGTACTCAGATATTGTCATCAAGTAAAAGTAGAAGTAGAGTGTAGGAATACTCTGTTACAGTAAAAGTCCTGCATTCAAAATCTTACTCAAGTGAAAAAGCACTAAAGTATATTAAAAAAAAACTAATTATGCAGATTGGTCCATTTCAGAATAATATATATGATATGTTTTATAATGATTGATCATGAAAGTGTTCTCAAAGCTGGTAAAGGAGCAGCTAGTTCGAATGACTTTGTATACTGCAGGGTAGCTTGTGAATTCACTCCAGGTGGAACTAAAGTCTGATTCAACACTTGATTAGATTTCACATCATTCATCCACATCTGTAAAGTAACTGAAGGTATTAAATACATGTAGTGGAGTAGAAGTACACCATTTACCTCTGAATTGTAGCGGGTAGAAGTACAAAGTAGCACAACATTGTAATACTCAGTACTTGAGTAAATGTACTTAGTTACTTTACAGCACTGTAATTGTTTTACTATTTATATGTATGTGTTTGAGTAAAATAACACTTGTAATACGTGGTGGAAGAAGTATTAAAATCCTTTACTTCCGTAAAGGTACTAATGTAAGAATACTCTGAAGTAAAAGTCTGGCAAAGAAAATGTTACTTAAGTTAACGTATGTTGGTACAACCAGCAAAATGTAGTAAAAATCTAAAATGAATTTTTTTTTAAATGCACAAAAAAAATCTAATTATTTAATATGAATTACAAATGACTTAAATGTTCAGAGACGCTGATAAATCCTCTCATAATTGGATATATGATTAATCGACTAAGCTGTTCTTGGACAAACTGTTGGCTAGTTTAATTTGTAACACAATATCATATTTTATAAACTATTTTTTATACCATAATATTAATTTGTAGTGTAACTAGTAAATTCACTGTAAATTCTATTCAAAGTTTAAAGTGAAAATATGTAGATGGACTTATTTACATTTCATCACAGCATGTCATCTATAAATTAATGACAACATTCCTACAGAATTCCATATAAACACATGATCATTTAGATGTATTTGCAATTGGTTAAAATAGCAAATAATATGCTGGTTTTCAGACATTCAGATATTCCCAAGAAAATAAGTTCATATTCATTTTTCAAACAACACAGTACTTGTGTTTAAACCTATCAAGGGCTCCCAAAAATGATAGAGGAATAACCCTGATTTACAATCACAGCTTTCATTCACGTTTGTAACCATCCATATTTGTCTTGAGTCTGTCTGAGGTGTTCAATGAACAAATGGATGATGTAGCATCTTTTTCTACATGATATAAATGCAGATATGCAGTTTTATATAAATATAAAACCACCTGCTGTGTTGTGTTCTCTCAGAGTTTGTGAAGTTTAAAGACAAGATAAAGGCTGTGAGTTGTGGAGATGATACGGTCACACTGCTGTCCAAGAGTGGACGAGTTCTCTGTCTGGACAGAAAGCTCGTTCCAAGGTGAGGAGCTACTGAGGTTATGCTGTCAATCAATCAGTGTCCTGAATTTGCAAGTAAATGTATTCAATTGTGAAAATGTGTCTTCACTTGGATTCTTGTTCTCTCAGGCCTATGAAGATTTTGTGTGCAGTTTCTCAGGTCGCCTGTGGGAGCCATCATTCAGTCGCCCTGACCAAAGGTACTGTAAAGGCCACGGTGCAGACGGGGAGCCATTTTCCACACATTTGGTGGTCACATTGTACGTGATAGGCTGAGGGCCGGAACATCTATAAGTGGTTGACCAATAACAACAGAAATAGCTAGCTAACCAATCAGAGCAGACTGGGCTCTGGTTTCAGACAGAGGGGGGAAAGAGGTGCTGCAGCACAGGCAGTATGAGAAAAATAAAGAGCTTTTTGAACATTAAAGCATCGAGACAGTAGAGACACAAAATACTAATATGAACCTGAAAATAAGAATAATATGAAACCTTTAAATGTTATTTTATACTTTTAATGTAAATTCATACTTTTTTTAGGGTGATATAAATAGTTTGTATTTTGTTTATTTTTCACTTTATGTTATTTAAAAATGGAACAACTGTCACAGAAACAACATTTCCTCCAGGATTTATGATCCTAAGGTATGGACGTCAGCTCCAAAAAACCTAGTATTGGATGGACGGTGATAATAATAATTATAATAACAAAACCTGTCTCTGAAAAAATCATTGATTACAAAGGAGTTTGCCAACAAAAGGTGCATTAGGGAAGTTCTACACGACTCACAGTGTTTTCTCCACAGATGGTCAGGTGTATACATGGGGCCAAGGCTCCGGGGGCCAGCTGGGTCTGGGGGAGAGGCAGCCCAGCGCCACATCCCCCCAACACCTGACCTCTCTGTCAGCGGTCCCCCTGGTGCAGGTCGCTGCAGGGGGGGGGCAGAGCTTTGCCCTCTCTGTCTCTGGAGTGGTGTTCAGCTGGGGCAGCAACCGCTGTGGGCAGCTCGGCCTGGGAGACACTACAGGTAGATGTCAAGTACTATTGATACACAGCACTAGCATTTAAAACCTATTTATACTATTTACATTGCATTAGAACTTGTTATTATTTTTTTACAGACAGACATACACCCACTCCTGTTCATTGTCTGAACTTGAAGAAAACTACCTACATTTCCTGTGGAATGGACCACACGGCCACTTTGACAAAGGTTAGATTCCTGATTTTGGCCCGACCTGCTCTTAGGTAACTTACTTACTAAGTGTTACTAGCAGTGGCAGCTGGTGCATTTTTCTCCAGGGGGGGTTCTACCAAAATGTAAGCAAACTTATACACAAACTCAGGACATATGTCATATTATAGCGCAGGGCTAGCTCAAAGGCACACAGCACTTGATACAGTCTATTATTTTAGTGCCTGTTTTTGTCAACCTCCTTATTATGCTTACAGATCCCTATCCTGTAGCCTTCATTGGACAGCTCTGGCTAGACATTTTCAAGACTTCAACGTCACGCCAACTTAAGATCGATATTCAAAAATACAGATTCAAAATTGTACAAGTTGAAGCGTTTGTTTTAACAGTTTGCAAGACCGCAGGTACTTGCTTTCAAGCAGAACAGGGCAACCAAACTTAGCGTGTGTTTATGTGTTCGACGTAATGACGTACAACATCCTTGACAGCTTCTGTAGTCCTATTCAGCCACTTGTTAACATCGTTTTTCAGACACGTAAACTCTTCAAAGATCACCAGTGGGGTCACTGCTGATGTATTTAATGTCATAGAACAAAACGTGATCCGTCTCTTAAATGTGTCTCAAACACAGACCTTATTTCCAGCTATTTTCCAAAATCCTATGGAGAAATCCCATCGACTCTGAGACGAGGGAACCGGTAGTGGTAAAATGCTGACTCACTTCCGGGTTTTAGGACTCGTCACTGCACCTCTCTATGGGTAAAGATTTATTCGCGCCAAGCAGGAAACACGTGACTTATCAGTAACTTTAGACATCGTAAAACAATTTGTATCTATATGTTATCGTAGATTATACATTTAACTGACACCAACTATATAATATGTACCTTGTTCATTAAAAAAAAAAAATGAAAGAATTTTTTTGAATGACAATCTAGAATGTGGGAAGAGGTGGGGCGGCGCCCCTAGCGTCCCTATGGGCCGACCACCACTGGTTACTAGTTAAGTACCGTAAGGACTAACTTCACACATTTCTTTATTTAAAAGAGATTCCTTTCTTTCTTCTGGACAGCAGACATAGTGTACATGACAATATTCAAATGTGCTCATCAAATCACACCCTTGTACAAATACAATAGGTTTTCAATGGCTCAGAGAACCAGAGGATCCATTTTTTTACAATACAATTATATGGTTAAAAGCGCACAATAAACACAACAAACACAACAAACAAACACAATAAATAGTCCAATATTATTTAAAAGTAATTTTTCTCTACTCGTAGAAATCTGCTACTTTTAAACCTCCAAAAGTTTAACATGCTTTAACAAATTATTTTTTGGCTGTTTGGGGTAAATATGGCGAAATTTAGCTAACAGTTGCTTATTTTTATATCTATATATATATCTTAATATAAATACAAAAAAATAACGGAAAACATACTACCTGCTTCGGCTGAAACAATGCTGGTCAGAGCAGCGAGTCTGAACCAAAACAGTATGATAAAAGGCTGTAAAGCTATACAAATGTGCTTAGAAGAGGCAATAGTGTGACTTAAGGACCTTTTATGCAATACTGGAACTTCTAAGACCTCGTCCCAAGAAAGTCTAACACAACCCCTGTCATAGATTTGTACATGTGAGACTGATGGTTGTCTGGTGGCCTCCTCAGGACGGTGCAGTGTTTACGTTTGGCTCTGGTGAACACGGACAGCTCGGACACAACTCATTCAGAGATGAACTACGACCTCGGCTTGTTGCAGAGCTCTGGGGGGCAAAGGTCACCAAGATCGCCTGTGGAAGGTACAAGTATATTTCACCTTTTATAAAGCAATCATGACAAAATAATTTTCATTCAACTATTGCAAGAGGCCGGTGAAAGTGAGTTTATGTCTCCGATATTATTAAAATGATTTGCCCTTTACTCAGACATCACACATTGGTGTTGACGGACTCCAAGAGGGTCTACTCCTTTGGGTGTGGAGAGCAGGGGCAGCTGGGACACGGAGAGGAGAGTCATCCGTCTGTGCCGCTACCTGTTCAACTGCCACAGGGTATCTACACAGTGAAAAATAGATTCAATATTGCAAACGCAATGAATGACTTTACAGTGATTTCACCTTTATTCTGTTTTTATTCCAGACACCAATGATGTAATTAAAAACATTTTCGCAGGGGGAAACTGTTCATTTGCAGTTTACACGTCTAATGAGGTACCAGCACAAAAACATACAGTGCAGACCATAATGGTCATGGGTTTAATCATGTTAACATTCATTCAACTGTTTTATTTTGCAGGATGTTCAGGAGGAGGCAAACACTGTCAGAGTCAACACTGTAACACACTGTCTTGATCACATGATCGACAAATGGACCGCTGAGTGTGATTCAAAGTCTTGGAAACAGATGAAACAGTAAGTATATTAATTATATTATTACTTTGTTGAGTAACCAGAAGTTCTATGGACTACATAGCAGAAATGATTGATTTGGATCTGTAGCAGTTAATAGTGCAATGAACTAAGATTTCAAATCTTCACAGGGAAATTCACAGGATGTTTTCCTCTGCTTCCTGTCTGAATGCATGCTTCCTTGAGAAAAGGTAAACACAGTATATAAACATTATAATCCTTTATCTTTTTATCCAAACATTTACTTTTAAGCTGTACTTGTTGAATTGCGATCTGTCAGTTAATCCACTACTTTATACAGTTCAAATAAATATTTTGATCCCCTGACAACTTATATTAGTAGAACCAGTTAGCCTGAAAAGATTCCGCTTTTATAGGTCACCTATTATGCAAAATGCACTTTTTGATGTCTTTTATACATAAATATAATATATATATATAATAAACGGGGCTACAACGGAGCTGATCCAGATTTGCTGCCGATATGACGTAATATCGGAAATGTGGGCTGGCTTTACACCCACGGCCCTATCAGAAACAATGAACGATGTGTTTTGGACGTAATATGGTCTTTATTTACATTAGCAAGCATCGCTAACACTCAGAGCTAACCTGTACTGGAGAGAGTATATGTGAAGAAGCAGGAAATAAAAAGGTACTGTCCTTGTGGTAAACCCTCAAGAGAAAAAGCATTTGAGCTCCATACTGTTTCAGAAATAATCCTTGATGTGTTTTGGAATCACATAAAGGATTAAACACGAGGTGTAATCACGACAGCGATTAAGTTGAGTATCGGGGTAGAATTCTTTGTTTGGTATTTTAAGCAAAACACTTCATAGACATGTTTTTTATATATCTGCGACCTATAATATATGCCTACAAATAGTTAGGAGACCTTTAAAGTTCTTTGTCCGTGTGCCAGCGCGGCTTTGAGCCAGACACTGATTTGTCCTCAAATTATCATTATCTTATACTTCTGTACCAACCCTGTCTCCTAAAAATAACGTTCCCACAGAACTAAACTGCACTCTCAATTAGCTAGAAACGTATTTTCTCCCACGTTACGTTCGTTATGAACGTATCTCAAATACGTTTATTTTCTACATATCTTCTAGAAACATATTTTCTCCCACGTTACGTTTCTTATGAACGTATCTTAAATACGTTTATTTTCTACATATCTTTGCCATTTATTGTCTTGCTTATAATAATGATAATAGTCATTTATAATAAATATCATTTTAGAGCACACCTTTGAAATCAGTAGGCGAGGCTGTAATTTTGCCAGCTGTTACTCTCATGAGTGAGTCAGAAAATAATAGTTTTAACATGCCAAAAAGCTGCTGTGTCGTTTATTGCACCTCAAACATTAAAACAAATCCAGAGTTACGTGTTTCTGTACTTCCTCTAACAGAAGATCTCTGTGACGCCAGATGTGGTGTTGTTAATGCGATATTATATCCGAAAAAAAATTCAGTTTAGGATGGCCGAAGACACTACACTACCCATAATCCCCAGCGTTTGGGACTACAGTCCCGTTGACAAACCCCGTGATTAATCTTTAAGCTCTGGGATTGGATGTTGGAGTGGCAGTGCGCCAAGGTTATGCCGAGCGTCAAACTCTTTGAAATGGAACGAAACCACGGCACACTATTCAAAACTGGACTTGAACGCCCCCCCAGAACTACACATGCTGGCTATTGTGTTTCGCAACATGTTCTCTATGGCACGTCTCTACTGGGAGTTGTGGTTTTAAAAGACGTTTTCGTTTTCCCCAAAATTAGAAGTTGACAGTATTAAACTGTGTATAGCCTTGGAGGTTTAGGCGATAGGAAACACATTGGTGTGTACACATTTAAAACATGTAATTACCAAATGGGTGAAAATCGCATGTATCCATAATGGGCAGCATTAATATATACCTACATGACAGCTCATTGTTACTTTGTAATTCTACTCCACTACAATTCAGAGGTTAACCTGGTATTTTTACTCCACTACATTTATTTTAGTTACTTTGCAGATTCTGATTAATGATGTGAAATATAAACAACCCTTAAAGCAGACTTTAGTTACACCTGAGTAAAATTCAGGGAAGGTGATTGTCAAGTGCCAACAATCAGGAGAGATATTTGATAGTTGGTGCTTGAGAAGACTAAACATTTATCTGCAGATCTCTATAAAGTATATTAATTACTCGTTATTCTCTACTAATAGTTAATTAAAAACTGTATATAATTGCTATTTTGCACATCCCAAGATTTTCTAAGGTTTATTGACATATCATATACACAACTACAGTGTAGTTATGCAACAGTGCATTACAAGACATCTATCAATATGTGTATATACCTCCACCATTAAACTGTCATATTCTGCACATTTCTTATACTATCTATATACATAAGAGTATAATTAATGTGTATAATATCAGTTAAAATGAGTGCTTCAACATAGTTAACATTGCAGGAAAGCAATATATTATACGTTAAGTACTTTGTCAGGCTCAATATATCTATCTGTAGATAGATACCCCCAAAGCTTTTTTCTTGTTTAAAAGAAGACCTTAACCTAAAGTATTCTTAAATGTGTTAATAAAGGTTAATTAGTTTGTCTGTTTTGCACATCCTCCTATTAATATCTTTGTACATCCAGCACTAAACTGTTTTATTGTAGAGATCACTTACAGTATCTTCTTGTTTTTTTATATTCTATACTTCTATCATTGACCTTCTACTTTCCCCCTATGAAAGAATGTACTCTTAATATTTTTTTCATCAAATAACATTATTCAACAAAAATAATTCAATAACGTGCTTTAACCACTAGGCGGTGCAGACTAGGTACACACAGCATACTAATAACTTTGTATTATTAGTGTAGGACACTTATGTATGTATAACATCTGAAGATTTGTAGTTTACTAGTTTTATTCATGTTTTACATAATTTTACAGGATATTGCTATATTATTTCTCATGTTTTACTTCTACACATTAATATCTGATTTGTAAAACATCACAGACAGAAAGGTATATCCGTCATTTAATGGTAAGCTATTGAAATTGTGATTCCATAGATGTGTCTCCCATCACCCAAATCCCCTGACTCCCTCAACTCAGTATTTACATTCTTATATACAAAGAAAATCAGTAATATCTTTCCTTTTCTATCAGCTGTGCACCGTTATGGTGTAAATATAACCTCAATTGGATCAAATATAAAAGTCAGCCGAATTACTATTGATACTGCAAGGAGACGTATTGTGTGAAAAGAAATGCAAGATGTTGTTTAATTGTTGATATATTTATGATCCACGTCACATATTCAGTGTTGGCGGCAGTTCTCCTGTTTGTCCAGAAGTCTTCTCAGCAGGGCTCTATAAATAAAGAACTACGGCAGATATGTAATATTTAATGCAGCCGAACCGTGTATTACAATGCCGTTATGTGATGACTTCCAAAGAGAAAAGCAAGTACACTCGGAATAAAGTATTTTTTAATTTTTTTAATGTTTTCGGATATCATATTGCATTAACATCATATCCCAACATGTATTGCGGCTAAAACATCCAATCAACGAGCTTCAAGCTGAGGATCTTGGGTAATCAGTTCAGTGGGTTTGTGGTGTGTATTGCTCGAAATGTCCCTTATAGGCCTACGTCTGTTTCCTGTGACTTTATTTACTGCTAAAAAGCCCAAGATTATATAATTAAACAAATAAAAACAAGGATAATTGTGTGTTATTGTTGAGTAAATAACAGTGTGTTATTTAGAAAATAATAACAAATTAGAAGGAAAAAAAGATTTTTAAAAAATACAGATTTCAGTATTTTGAGGCTCTAAGCCCCATTTCTTTTCCTCACAGACGACAAAAAAAGTCCGACATTATACGATTTAAAATAAAAACAATAATCGTGGCTTGATATTGAGTAAGAAGATGTTTTTATGAACCCCACAGCTTCCGGTCTTCCAAGACCCGAACGGACAAAAAGACGTGCTGCGGGCACGAAACATACTACCAATAGAAATACATTGCTTTTAAAATCATTCTGTGTGACACAAAAAAAAGGGGGAAATCGTGTTGGTGAACACGATTCAATAGACGAAATGCCTTGAGACTGGGTTGTGATGTTAGCATGTATCTGAAAGCACCAAAGTGCCTAAGTAAAGTCTCACAGAGTAATGTAATGGTCATGGTCTTTTTTTCTTTGTGTTTTTAGCCGAGATGAACATTTCCAGACTTCACCAAAGTACTGTGGCCTGAACCTGCCACTTGCACAACTTGCTTTCCAGAAACTGGTAAAGAAGGATAATGTGTTTGTCGGGGTAAGTGCATGAACGGTTTTATCTTTCAAAGTTATCTACCTTCAGTATGTTCACTATTTGTAACTAGTACAAATGGCATGGCGAGATTAACTCTATAATTACTCTTAAACTTGTCTAAAGTGTTAAGAATGACCAAAGAGTCCTGATACGTACTTATCCCTTGCTGTGCTTCTCAAACTAACAGGTTGAGGGTGCTCTCTTGAACTTACTCCCCTCCCTTGATAAGCAGCCCGTGGGAGTGGAGGGTTTGAGGATCTTCCTGATTCTCAATGAGCTCCTGCATGTGATCCAGACCCACAAACCTCCACAAAAGAGCATAAAGCTCGCTAAGGCGATCGCTGCTGCTGTACTGAACTTGTCTGCTGGCAGCCTCCAGGTCATAGGTAACCTCACCTTTACACATCAGCATCAGTATTTGATAACACATTAAACATCGTTGAATGTTAATGACTGCATATCTTCTCCATGTTGTCTTCCTCAGGGGACTGGTGGTCCTCACTGCCATCCTCCACCATGAGTAAACATGTTGAGGTATGGAAGCAGGCCCTCTCAGTGATCCTATCCGACGAACCTCTTCATCGAAACTCAGAAGTCAGAAACCTGCTACTTGTCCTCCAGTATATGTACAACGTGAGTATCCGTTATTGGCTGACTTTTTACGAATGTCATTGAGCACGAACCAGTAATCCTACACATTTTTTACTTTTCACCTAAAACATTTTGTTTTTCAGGCAAACCGCAGGACTGCAGAACCTCAACAGATGCCAGAAAGCAAATTCTGTTTGTTGATGAACAAAGAATTTCTTCTTCAGGATCTTCAGCTTTGGCGTTCACGGTCACAAAGCAAGGTAAAAATAAAATAAAAGTGCACTCACTCTAATACACACTCACTCAAGTACACACACTTCTAAACACAATATCCTATGTGTTTTCCCTTTCAGAAGAATACTGAGCCACTTATCCTTTGTAGCTTTCCGTCTGTGATGGACCTGGAGTCGAAGAAATATGTTTTTGACCGGAATGCTGAATACACCAAGGTAACTCAAGCCTTGTTCTGTACCTCATGAGAATACGCCTTCACACACAATAAAGTCAGGTCAAGAAATGTCCACGTAAACCTTTTTCATTGTGTATCAGCTCTGCCTGATGAGTATATGTTTTCCATGTGACAAACACAGTTAAGTAAGCTGTCAGTTACACAACAGAAACATTTTAAAATAAGCAATAAGAAATTAAATCTGTAATTGTCCTGTGTACCAGAATGAAGCACAGCCACCCTTCTTCTGGGAATTCTTTTGGGAATTCGGACTCCCTATGCCTCAAGGCGTGGTTTTTGAAGTCGACGTGAGGCGAGGATCAGTTTTGAAAGACACCTTTGAACATTTGGCTTCTATAAATCAGAGTGACTACAAGATTCCACTTGCGGTAATAAACATGTAGTTTTATTCTGCGCAAAGTCACACAAAAAATCTTGCATCATTGTTTATTGACTCTTGTATGAGCTGCTGTATCATTGTTTTGCCTTTCATCTTGTAGGTTTACTATGATGGAAACTTGCCCCGCTGGGACGATTTTTTTGGCTACGTGAAAGACTTTTTTTACGAAGTGTTTCACGAGATGGTTTCAGCTGAAACCGGGATGTTCATGTACAATGACTCCAAGACACTGGCATGGTTCCCATCCAAAGTAAGACGATATGTATGCAATGATAAAAAGGATCCAATGATCATACCACAAAAATTATTGTCATCCTGGCATTTCTCCACTTTTCTGTTGAAAATTGTCTCTCCTAACAACACCAGGCAGCACCAGAGGACCAGCGGTACCTATACTTTGGGATTCTGTGTGGATTGGCCTTGTACAACCAGTGTATCATTCACTTACCATTCCCACTGGCTCTGTTCAAGAAGCTGCTGGGTGTGAAGCCTTCACTGGGGGATATGATGGAATTCAGCTCCTTTGTTGGAAAGTAAGGAAACTCATTTAAATCACACACATTTTAGGTTTGACGTGCAGCTTTTTGGTCATAATACAGTACATTGTAAAGCATCTTTAAAATCTTAAATATAATTCCTTTTATCGGGTTTCAAGTGGTCTGAAGAACATTCTGGAAGACTACACAGATGATGAAATAGGAATCCTCGACTTGGATTTCTCAGTATGTGTTTTACAGTCTTCATCCTCTTTCTGATATCTATCTGACAACAGATATTTATTTCCCAAAGCAGTGATTTCAGCTTTTTCTGTTGATCACCAGATCTACTGGGATGGAACAAACGTTGACCTTGATCCTCAAAATCCTGAGAAGCCTTTGACAGGTCAAAATAGGTAAGAGTGTTTTGTTATTTGTCATCAGATTACAATCTTAAATAGTATGTAAATCAACATCTTGGGATGGGACTAAAAACATTTAAAATGTATGCTTTCGAATCGATCAGGCTAGGCTAAGCTACCGTTATAGCTGCGTCATTCGCTTGATTCACGCCACCCAGGGCGACTTCACATTTATCTGCATCTTCACATTGACCTTACATGTAGCCCTGCAAAGGTTGCTTTGCATCCAGTGTGAACGCACCATAAGGCTTATATTGTAGAGAACTATAAAAGAAGAGAAATGACTAAAACAATAAGCTTAAAGATACAATATAACTTTGTAGACAGAATTTCTCAGAATTCATTGCTTTTACCTGCTAGGAAATACCTTTAAAATCGAATCATTTCTTTCTGCCGCTAACCTGTAAAAAGATATGTAATACATTGATTGATTCATTTACATCAGTCTTGGTATGTGTAACACTATAATCAGCCCCGGCTCAGTCTTATTTTAATCAGGCTGAAGAAAATGATGCAAAGATTGCAATATCCTCCTGTCAGAGCATAGTTTGACAGGATCTGAACCTGATCTCTTTAATCTGCTGAACAGGAAGGAGTTTGTGGAAGCCTACGTGAGCCATGCCTTCAACACATCAGTGGAAGGTGTGTTTCAGGAGTTCAAGCGGGGCTTCTTCCAGGTGTGTGACCAGGATTTGGTGAAGCTGTTCCGACCACGGGAGCTGCAGGAGGTGCTGGTGGGCAAAGACTTCAATGACTGGGCCAGGCTGAAACAGGTACAGTCCAAAACAAGAGCTACTCATGTTTTCTCTTAAATTTGTCCCATCCTTTTATGCTTGATTTAAATGCTAAATATATAAGAAGTATTTGTCTGTTTCACTGTATTTAGGTCACAGTTTATGAGGGGGAGTACAACACGACCCCTCTACACCCCACCATACAGATGTTTTGGGAGGTTTTTGATGATCTAACGGAGGATCAGAAGAAAGCTTTCCTTTGTAAGTATAGCACCTGATTTCAAATATCGAAACATGACAAATTATAATTTTCATGAAGCATTAATGTAGATGGTTCATGAAAGTTTTACATTTACAATGTACACTTAGTATCTGGTAAGTTATGTAACTGGTGGTTGCTTGGAGTCAATAAAAGGTCTTATAGTTGCTTTAAAATCTTCTAATGAGCCACTAAAGTGGTGCAGGAATGAGTCCTAAAACCCGGAAAGACTTCTTCCACATCTTACAGGCATATTATCAATTCTGGTTCCCTTGTCTTGTCAAAGTCAAAAATGCGTCAGCTTCTGTGTCGTATTTTGCGCAGCATGTGACCATCATGTACATTGTATAGCCTAATTAGCTTTTTATTTCCAGCAACTGTTCTAAGCTTCTATGTGTCATATAAATGGCGGTTGCTAACAAGGGAATAAATCAATTGTAAGCGTCATTACGCCAACACAAATCCGCTTTTAGCTTAGCAGTGTTGATGCACAGCCATGTACATTTGATGTTGTTTATAGCAATATGTTTATTATATATAATTATTTCTGCTGTTACATTTACGCTTCATAAATCTTCAAGTGGTGTTAATATGTGGAGATTATCCTGCCGCACAGAACATGTTAAGTATCATAAATGTGGGTTTGCAACAAAGCACATTTTCTGTAATATATCGTAATCCAATGGGAAAATCCCATTGTTTTTTGTCAAGCCTCCGAAAACACGTCAACACTGCACCACTCTATTGAGCGGGAATACATACAGTCCAAAACAATAAGCAACTGTTGGTCTAAAGTGCAACAAAGGTATTTTATTGAGAAAAGTTTTCAACTAGAAAAAGACTCTCAAACTAAAACTGAATTGATAGTTTGAGGGGTATACTTTGATGATTTGCTTTCCAAAAAACATTCTGCTCCCCCATTTTTACCAGGTGTTTTATTGGCCGCTGTGTCCATAATCTCCCCACTTAAATAAACGTTCTACATGCAGTTGGAAGGCACAGCAAGGCACAATTAAACTAAAATCATTCAGGTCTGATTTATAGGAAGAGCAGTGCTGGTCTTAACAACAAGGATTTCACAGAAACAAATAGAAAGCAAAAACTCACTGATTACCACTTCTCCCTCCTCCAGGGTTTGTAACCGGATTTGAAAGGGTGCCTGTTCTTGACCTGGAGAAGTTCAAGATGAAAATCAAAGATCAACAAGTCCAAGGCCCCCCTGACCAGTTCTACCCCAAAGCACATACGTGCTCCTTGGACCTGGAGCTGCCCTTGTACTCAACCAAAGAGATCATGCAGACCAGGCTGACCGAGGCTCTGAGCAGCAACAAAATCATCTTTAAAGATGCTGGGACTGAACTCGGAAGGTGTCTGGTCTGAACAGAAGACTTAACATTGTCATAGAGCACTTTGTAAACCAAGTAGCAGCCTTTGTAGTATTGCTACTATACCTGTTTATTAACAAACTGTATGGCTGGGAAATTCTTGATAAATAGGATGTATTGTGTGGTGGGTTAATATCAGAAATCCTTCCCTAATAGCAAAAACGCTGTTATACTCCAAAAAAAATGTTGTATGTATATATGCATATTTCAGAAAAACGCCCTATGTACATATTTAAGTATTACATGATCTTCTAAGATGAATAAGGGTGTGACTTTATTTTATTATTTTGGTAAGTTAACCATGTAACAAATGTTGGTAACACTTTATATTAAGGTACACAAATTAACCATCAACTAGTTGTTAATTAACATGCATATTAGCAGTATATTGGCTCTTTATCAGTCATTATAAAACACTTATTAATGCCTTATTCTACATGACCGTATTCTACAAGTAATACGCCATTAGTTGAGAGTTTTTCCTCAATAACCCTCTAATTAGTGCTTATTTGTTGCAAGTAAGGAAGTTGTTGTACATGAGTTGTGGTCTTAATATGCGCTGCTCAATATGGGCCTAATAAGGCAGTAGTAGCACAAGAATAGTAATTCTCCCTTAATAACACTTAACAAATATGATCTATTCTTATGTAACAAGACATGACATAAGTGTTAATTGTGTCTAAATAACTCAAATTTAGGTATTTATATCTTATAATATGTTCTGGGGTATTGAAAGTTCAGCTACCAATAGCAAGGTGATATTGACCTGTATGTTTCATATTTGCACATTTATATTTTTGTAAAATTTGTACTGAAGGTTAGACAGGAAACTGGGTACAGGAAGTAGGAGAAAGTGATCTGGCATGCATGGCAGAACACTGCGGCCCAATCCCAAACCACTCCCTCGACCCTCCCCCTCCGTGACGGAGTGAACTCCGTCTGTAGGCACACTCACAGCTGAATGAAGTTCCCTCCATTAAGGGTTAAGGGTATAAATACAGCGGCAAGCTTTGGGACGGCCTCCCCTCTCTCCGCAGGAAACGGAAACGGACGTCATGGTGTCCAACTCACATCTCCATCTGTCGGCTGCATTGACCTGCGTTGCTATCCGTCGCCTGTTGCGGGTGCAATGGCAAGATCCAACAGAAGGCGCAGAAGGTTGAGGCGCATTTTAGCGATGTGCCAGTGGCAGGTAAACATTTCAATATTGCTAATACAACAATTATCTTCACTTTATTTCTTATATAGTAGCCTATGAACTTTGTATGTGTAATACAAATAGATATTTAGATATATTGTGATATACATTCATTTATTCTTTCCTTATAAGCTATACGTGTATATCTGTATAGTGTCTGTAGAATTCCAACACAGAGAAATGTTGTCAGTAGTTTATAGAATAAAAAAGGAAAGGTTAATTTGACTTGGTCTCAGAATTGTTTACAGAGCTGTGTGTGTGTGTGTGTGTGTGTTGGAGTATAGTTATTGAACAATACTGTGTCCTGTGTTTGTCTTTTACAGGGGGGCAAAGGTCTTTACATGCAGCTCAATGCCACTGCCCCAATTCTCGCCGTGTATGCCAACCCTGAAGCCTGTCTAAAGAAGGACTTTAGAGTTAAGCGATCTAGTGTGGTGTATTTAGTGCAGATGCTTTCCTCCCCAAAGGACCACGGATGGGGACAAGACATCGAGGTGCTTGTTCTCCTCTACAGCTTGGCCCATGGACTATCACTCTCTGTGGTGGGTTCAGCATTCGGGATTCCCAAATCGACGGTCCACAGGATCATCAAACACGTCACCGGGAAGATAAAGGCCAACCTGAAGACCCTCATTTCCCTGCCAACCCCAGATGAGCTGCCAGAGATTGCAGATGGCTTCTGTCAGCTTGCAAAGAGTCCTGCATTTCACCGTGCTGCTGGTGCGATTGATGGATGACATATTCGCATCAAACCTCCAGGAAACGAGTACCACAAGGAGTACATCAATTACAAGCTGTTTCCTTCCATCCAGATGCAGGCCATCTGTGACTCAACTGGGAGATTCCTGGATGTCTTCATCGGCTATCCAGGCTCCGTTCATGATGCCAGAGTACTGCGAAACAGCCCCATCTTCTGCCAGGCACTGTTTCCCCCAGCTGGTTGGTTCCTCCTTGGGGACGGTGGTTATCCCTGCCTGGAAAAACCAGTGGGATTACTCACACCCTACAAGGTCCCTCGCGGCCAGGTGCAGGCCAGATTCAACAGGCATCATGCCAGGGCTCGGTCTGTGGTGGAAAGAGCATTTGGAAGGATGAAGGCTCGCTGGAGGGCCACCCTTTTCAAAGCGCTGGAGGTCAGTCCAAGCTTTGCCCCTGACATCATTGCATGTTGTGCATTTCTGCACAATCTGTGCATAGACATGAACGATGTCCTTGAGGATGCTGAAGCCTTCCCCCCTGAAGATGGGGACCAGAGTCCTCCCCCTGCCGCAGCATGTGGACAGGAAAGTCCTGGACACCACCTAAGGAACAGGATTGCTGCACAACTCTCTGCTCCTGTCCAAATGGCACCACACCTGAGAGAGCACGATTACATCTAATGAACTTTGTTTTTTTTTGGAAAAACGTGGTTGTCTGTTAACTTGTGTTTTTGAAATGATGTGCACACATACCTGATTTAATTTTGTTTGTTTTAGTGAGCTCCACTTCTCACTTTAGAGAAAAGAGGTGAAATAAAATAAACCTGTGCACCGTTGATTTCAAACTTGGTTTTCCTGAATTGTCTTTCTGCATAATCCCAAATTGGAGACAAATGTCCTTACCTCTTGGATCATTCAATCACGAGCACAGAGCAAAGGTTCAGAAAATGAACACAGGTCTTCTAATACAATCACTTAGTTTTTGAGTGAAACTCTGCAAATGGTTTGACATGAGCAATTAAGACCGTAAATGTCATGTATATTTTAATGCCTTATACCTATGAAGCGCACAGACATATCTTTATTTAAAATGCTGATATTCAGGGTTAATCTTCAGACTTTGGAAAAAACACTTTAGTTCCGTGCACAACATTACTTTGTGCAAAACTTTTCCTTCTACATTATGAAACCCACACAGAACAATGTAGCCATCTAACAATCAAGCAAACGCAATGTCACCTTCATCACCCGTCTACCTGTATTTACTATATCCCATACAATATTGAAGACATGAAGGACAGTACGTTAAATTAGGTTTATTGTCTTCCAAATAAATAATACAAGCGAACAAAAACAAGTCTTTTAAGTAACATCAATAATCAAACATAGAAATGGCCAATGGTGGGGGGGGACAAATAAATCACATTTTGTCGACCATTTTTTCGAACAGGGTTAGAAATGTATCTGAGTGCTGCATTATTGCTCTGTGGCGTTCGTCCTCTTTTTCTGCCTCGCGTTCTAGGCACTCCAGCACTCCCATAGCACCTTTTCTTTTTTTGGGGGGGGGCTGCTGGGTGGTTCCAGCCTCAGACAGTGATGAGGGTGGTGAGGGGTCTGGATCATCAGCCACATTTGGGGGGGGGAAGGAAGAGGGGCAGGAAGCAGCCTCCGGATCAAAGAGGATTGTGGGGTTTGCCAAGGCTGAGGCAACAAGGACAGGAGGACTAATTGAAGGCCTTGCACCTATGGCCTCATCCATGGCCATGAAGAAGGGCCATGTTGCAGGGGTTTCTTCCCCCTGATCAGTCCCTGTTCCAGTCCTTGGCCTTTTAAGTTCCTATTGCAAACAAATGCATGTTAGAAATCTTTGTTCAGCTTTTTCAAAAACAAACATGTTTTACAATAACAATACACCATTTACCTTGTATTTCTTTTTTAGGTTCTCACATTTCTTGGAGGCCTGTTTGTGAGACACATGTTGCCCAAGGTCCAGTTCCTTAATGATTGACCTGTTATCATAGAATATTTAAACAATATATATTGGTGTTAAGGCAATGACCCACAGTGCACATTCATTACTTTCATTGCACAAAATATGAATTGAGTGCATAACTCACTCCCATGCTTCTTTGGCAGCATTGCGTTTTTTGCAGAACAGGTCGTCCTTTTCCATCCTTAATGCAATAAGTGCCTTGGTTTTTACCACAGTCCCTGAAATTACAAATCACACTTAAGTTTAAACCGATTTCGTAAGTGAATGGATACATGAATTGACACATGTGTTGTTAGTTTGATTCCGATTTAGATTTGTACATCTTCAAAATAAAAATCTAATGTAATCTTGGCAAATCAAATTAACACGTGTAGATTTATAAATACATGTTCACAAAGGCATGTTTTAGTTAAGGCAACGTATTATTTATCATTTAAAAAAATAACCACATGGAACTCACATTTGTATGACGTTGTTTCCTCCATGCCCGAAAAACGGTTGCACACCTGTGGAGTGAGATTATCAAGCCTGCATCCATGCAAACTCGCTGTCGGAGGCTTTTATAACCCACTACGCCTCCGCCCTGATTGCTTTGGACCAGCCCTCAATATGGCGGACCCTTCGCGTGAACGCGCAAACGGAGGGGTAGGGTGTAGGGGGCGGTTTGGGAATGGGTCTGGTTCTAATTTTCCTTTGCAACCTGAAGAGTAAAAGGGTCAAGTCCGTCAGAAAGCAATGACTGTAAGTGTAAGTGTGAGCCTTGCACTTACACTGTAAGGATTAGTAACATGTATTGTGTTTATGTGATGAGATGTTTAAACAAAATGAGAAAATGCGTTAGCATTCGCGCTAGCGTTAGCATACACGGTAGCGTTAGCATACATGCTAGCGTTAGCCATACTAGCCTGTATACATGCTTATTGCACAGCTAGCATTAGCTATATTTACCTTGTTTACACTAAGCGTCTACGCGTCTATGTGTTAATCTGTGTATGTTACACTTGCATGTATGAGATCATTAAGTGCCTTGTAACTTCTGTTTTATAGTTTCACTCCGTTTGAATGTCAGTGGACTGCAAATAAGTCAATAAAGAAGCATGGCTGCTCATTACATTCCCTGGCTCTCAAAAGAGTTTGGCTGGCTGTTTAATCTATGTTCACACTGAGACAACACATAGAGAGAACAGTACACCTATTGTGTAAGTACATACAAGCAGGTCACACAGTATGAACACAAATACATAAACTCTGCTAAACATCTGTTTTTATTAAAAAGTACAGGCTGCTATGTGTTCTCAGCAGGGCCGGACTGGGACAATAAGGCCCAATCCCAAACCACTCCCTCGACCCTACCCCTCCGTGATGGAGTGAACTCCGTCTGTAGCCACACTCGCAGCTCAACGAGGCTCCCTCCTGTCAGATGGAGGGAGTATATATAGCAGCAAGCTTTGGGACGGCCTCCCCTCTCTCCGGCAGAAACAGGAAATGCCGTAACTGTGTGTAACAACGGTTTCAAATCAGGATCTCTTAGACAAAAAGTTTAAATGAATAACTCAAATAAAACTCCAAACATCTTTCATTGTGTTTCAAAGCTCTTTTAGTTGTAAACCTGATGTTTATAAGCTTCTTAGTTTTTGCAACGGTCTGTAAATATACACAACTTTATAATAAAATGCACACATTTACCTTTTTCTAGAAAAACACAGGTATGATCATAAGTTAAAAACATATGAGGTTATCATGAGGTTGTTAACATCGCAATTTATCAGTGGATGTTTGCTGGAACTACTTGTAAACAGCGTGTTTCCTGACGGACACACACAGCGTGACTCCGGTCAGGTAGAGACCGGTCTCAAGTCAGCACCGCTGCAGACTCGCTGTTTGAGGGCTTGATAGCCCACTCCCCCTCCACACTCGTTGCTTTGGAACAGCCCTCAATATGGCGGACCCTCCGCGTGAACGCGCAAACGGAGTGGTAGGGTGTAGGGGGCGGTTTGGGAATGGGCCTAAATCAGGCCGGGAATTATACACCCAGCCAGGCCACTACCAGTTTTTTGTGCCATTTTGCTGGATTTATTTGTCAATATTTACAGCGTTGCTGCCCGTAGTGATAGCCCTCTAAATCTACTACCCAAAAATAAACATATGGACATGGGTTACTATTTAAAAAAAATTGCAAATCTATTTAGGAACCTATGTGAACATATTTTAAGTGGGGGTGGACCTCAACTCCTATAGGAAGGTCCGGGGGCATTCTCCCCCGGTAAGATTTGTTTTTAATGTTGGACTTAAATGCATCAATCTGGTGCACTTTGAGGGGGAAATAAAGAGACTACACCCATATGAAACATAACTGTATACATTTAAATAATCATAAGAACATGGCCATAACCAATAACATACCATATCCAATATGGAAAAACATTGAAACTTGTTTATTTATTTGTTTTTGGTTCATTTATAGTTGTGAGTGTGTCTGTGCTCCTGAACCAGCCTCTCCTGTCTCCCCCCTCTCCCTCCTGCTCCTCTTTGAGGCAGAAGCAAAGACTAGTTTTAGCTCTCAACAAGTTTTAATAGTTTATCTTACCTTTTTGAAAGTGGCCATGTCGGCAGGCCACATCATGTAGACAGCCAGTCACCCTCTGTGAGGCAGAGTCAGACCCACATTTGCGCAGCGTTGCGTTCACAATACATAGGCCTACATAACAAAAAAAAAGTCCTCAGGCCAGCAGGCCACTTAGCACGCCAGGCCATCGGGAAACCTCCCGGTTCTCCCGGTGGCCAGTCCGGGCCTGGTTCTCAGCCTTGGAGAAACTTGACATGTTTTGGGATGTGTCTGAACCGTCTGAACCTCTAGTGGTTCATTAATAAAACAGATATTTCAACGTGTGCCTACTTTGTTCATGTACTGTTGAGGTTAATTTCAGTAGTTGTGTGCTATAATGTATTTACAAAGTGTGAAGAGGAGGTCACTTTAGAATAGGGAACCTTCACTTCACCACCAACGAACTGTCACAAGGGCAAAGAAAATCATTTCTGACCCCTCCCACCCAGGTCACCATGTCTTCCAACTTCTGCCCTCAGGGAGGCGCTACAGGTCACTGTCCGCCAAAACCGCCCGCTTCAAAAACAGCTTTTTCCCCTTTGCAACACGTAAATGGACTCTAAATAACCCCAATGAACAATAACAATCCACCACACCTTGAACTTTATGTTATATGTCTTTGCCCTGTGCTGTGTGTTGTACTTTTTATTGTCTGTTTATTGTATGTTGAATTGTATGGAACAAGCTGTAATACTCTGCACTGAACACGAATTCCACCAGCCTGGCTGTGTGGTCATTAAAGATTCTAATCTAATCTAATCTAACCTGTTCAGGTCAATTAGAGTCAAACTACTAGTTTATTGGTTATGAACAAGACTTCACTTTAGAATAGGGAACATATTATAAGATATAAATACCTAATTTTGAGTTGTTTAGACTTAATTAACACTTGTAGTTTCATGTCTTGTTACATAAGAATAGATCATATTTGTTAAGTGTTATTATGGGAGAATTACTATTCTTGTGCTACTACTGCCTTATTAGGCCCATATTGAGCAGAGCATATTAAGACCACAACTCATGTACAACAACTTCGTTACTTGCAACAAATAAGCACTAATTAGAGGGTTATTGAGGAACAACTCTCAACTAATGGCTTATTACTTGTAGAATAAGGCATTAATAAGTGTTTTATAATGACTACTAAAGAGCCAATAAACTGCTAATATGCATGTTAATTAACAACTAGTTGATGGTTAATTTGTGTACCTTAATATAAAGTGTTACCCAAATGTTACATACAATATGTTTAAACATAATACTCCTTTGTGTTCTGGAGACTTTTATTGTTGAGTTACGTTTTTCAAAACCTTAATATAGGAATCATTTGTTAATTAACATTATACTGTATGTTGATGCAATAAAAATGACTTCCTTCTGTGCTCCTCGGCTGTTGAATAACTGCTCAAACATACACACATCTTAAGATATAACACTGCACTGTGGAACTGGTTTATTTACTGCAGAATCTCCTCTAATTTAGTTAATTTGCAGATGTGGATGAATGATGTGAAATATAATCAACTCTTAAATCAGACTAGTTCCACGTGGAGTAAATCCACAAGCTACCCTGCAGTGTACAAAGTCATTCAAGCTGCACCTTTAGCAGCTTTGAGAACACTTTCATGATCAATCATTATGAAACATATCATATATTATTCTGAAAAGGATCAATCTGCATAATGAGTATTTTTTACTTTTGGTACTTTAAGTATATTTTGATGCCAAGACTTGAGTAAGATTTTTGAATGCAGGACTTTTACTTAACACAGTAGCCTACTCCTACACTTCTACTTTTACCTAAGTACACGATCTGAGTACTTCTCCGATCTCTGAATATTTGTATATCTCTGTAAAGACAACATTGCATAAATGATTTTGATATCTTGTTTTGATTAAATGATCTCAATGCCTCGTAGTAGAAGAAGAAGGTATAGGACATAAGGAGCTATTTTTTAAGATAATGAGTTGTATCTGCTGTGCTTTTCATCCTACTAACAGAGTTGTACGTTTTGTAATCTATTTTCTCCCTTTAGTCATTGAACCTCCCTTATCTCTACCCTGCTGTAGGCTACAAATTAACAGACTTCATGAACTCCAGTTTCACTTTCGGGTTTCGTTTACCTCAGAAGTGGTGAAGGTCCTCCTCCCTCTGACTCAGTGGGCGTTTTGTTTTCGTTTCTTCGCAGTGTGTTGATATTATAAGTTTTGTTTTCCAGTGTTTCCATACGTCACTTATTAAGTTTCGTTTTTGATTTGCAGAGTCATAAATAGCAGCTGTGGTTGATCCTGAGAGCATAAGCAACATGTTTTCATGGGGAGAGCACGGCTGCCAGCTGGGAGATGGTTCTAACATCTCAACAGCTGATGGAGTCCACATCACGGAACTGTCAGCGGGTCGCACTGTGCTCGCCTTCATCCAGGGGGGTGGAGAGGCTTCCGTTATCCGCACCGAAGAGAGCAAAGATGGGAGAAGAGTCAGAGGAGAACAGAGTGAGTTATATTCCCTTTTTAAAAAGTTCTGACAAAAATAAGTTTATTATTTAAAGCAATATTGACATTGCCATAAAACCACCTGCTGTGTTGTGTTCTCTCAGAGTTTGTGAAGTTTAAAGACAAGATAAAGGCTGTGAGTTGTGGAGATGATACGGTCACACTGCTGTCTGAGAGAGGACAAGTTCTCTGTCTGGACACAAGTCTCGTTCCAAGGTAAGGAGCCATTTATATAATATTACCTTTTTTAGAATGTGTCTTACTAAATATATATGTCGGATTCATGCTAGTCAACTTTATTGCTTGGTATTCCATCAGTCTTATTTTGTGTTTCTTGTTCTCTCAGGCCTTTGGCAGCTTTGTGTAACATAGAGGTTTCTCAGGTTGCTTGTGGGAGCCAGCATTCAGTAGCCTTGTCGAAAGGTAGGCTACAGTAAAGTGTACAATAAACTGCTGAAAACACATGACACAAACAACAATTATAAAATAATGATATACACCAGAGTTATAGGCAATACATCAATCTCTGTCGTTCAAACACATCTAGTATTTCAGTGAAGAGATGTAGCTCTTTACCGTCTAACATTCAGCTTAATCACTGCATTTAAAAGTACCATTACTCAATTTTGTTTTTCGCTTTTGTTGTTTTGACTTAGTGGAAAAATACATTTTTGTAAAAGTTGACGCAAAGTCCAGTAGTAGAGATGAAGGCACATATGTAGGACATACATCGATGATATATCTGTATCAGCCTACATGTTTCCAACAGGGGCGGACTGGGGGGAAAAAGTGGCCCGGGGATTAATTGACAGACAGGCCCACTTAATGTTACTTAACAAAAAACCCTATGCAATTTATGTTATTTTGGACAATTATTCATATAGTAATCACATTACCTGAGCCCTTGAGTTGCCTAGAGCAAAATAGTTACAGCATATATTTAGTGATTTTAATGTTAACAGATCATTGATGCAATAACATTTGGACCCAATTTGCCTGACTTGACACATGGAATAAAACATGGGCGTAGGAAGCATCCTCAATGTGGGTGAGACCATTTAACAGGGGGTGTGGGCAGGTGGTGGACCTCACCTCCTCTAGGGGGGTCCGGGGGCAAGCTCCCCCAGGAAGATTTTTTTTTAAATGTTAAAGTTAAATGCATCAATCTGGTGCATTTTGAGAGCAAAATTAGGGACTAAATATATGGCAGTCAGTAGCTTATCCCATACTAGAATCGATGATTGAATGCCAGCAGGTTGAGAGGGTGTTGTGCAAAAAAAGCCTCGTGCAACTTAGTCAGCTGCTATGTCAATAACACCTTTCCAACAGAGGAATTCAGGGAGGGACACCGCTGAGGTTAACTTGAGCACACTCTGTGCTAAGCTAAGATACAACGAAGAACTATATTTGGAAATGCAGCTTGACAGTGCTTTGCAACACTGATCTTAAAAGTTGGGTTTCATATCATAAGATACAAAAGGCTAGATAAATAGATACAAGGCTATGAATAATGAAGGATACACATGATAACCCTTGAAAACTAAAAAAGGTATGAATAGATAATATAAAATAAAATGCATTTAAAAATAAAAGAATGTGTAACATTAAAAGAGAAAATATAACCCTGATTGATAATGATACAAATAATACATAAACTACAAATAATAGAATATAAATAAAATGTTAAATATAATGGGAAGTATACTGCATTGATTATTTATAATTTAAAAAATAAACAATAATAACAAAGTGAAGCTGACTGTGAGCCGTAGGGTCGCCGGTTCAAGTCCCCGACCAGACCTACATTTGGAGTGTGGACTTCTACTTGGAGAGGTCCCAGTTCACCTCCTGCCCTGCCGTGGTGCCCACCGGACATCCCCCTTCCCCCCTCACTCCCATTGCTCCCCGGGCGCTGTACAATAGCTGCCCACTGCTCCTAGTACTAGACTCCTGGTGCTAGGATGGGTTAAAAGCAGAGAACACATTTCACTGTGTGCTGTGTGCTCTGCATGTGTGACCATTGAAGAGGGTTTCATCCCTCCCAATTATTCTTCTTCTTCTTCTTCTTCTTCTTCTTCTTCTTCTTCTTCTTCTTCTTCTTCTTCTTCTTCTTCTTCTTCTTCTTCTTCTTCTTCTTCTTCTTCTTCTTCTTCTTCTTCTTCTTCTTCTTCTTCTTCTTCTTCTTCTTCTTCTTCTTCAACACCCATATAAAACAGAACTGTAAACAGATTAACTTTTTCTTTCAACATTTATTTGAACAGCAAGTGGAGGCAAAAGTGACTGCACCCAAAACAATAAACCTGCTAGCTAACTAGCCTAAACTCAGTAACAGAATGTGGGCAACACGTTGTTCTCCACAGCCGCGCGACCTCTGAGTCAGACGTCACTTCCCCCTTTTCTATCCTACGGGTACAGCCGTACAGCCACTCCCCCTGGACCCCGTTTCCCTGCCACACCCCACTGGACTGGGCTGGGCTGGTCCGGAACACTTACAAATGTGGGCCGCTAGGATTTAGGCCCTCCGGCCCACACACAGCACCGGCCCACCGGGGAAACTCCCGGTATTCCCAATGGCCAGTCCGCCCCTGGTTTCCAATATGGAAGGTTTTTCATATTTTCTTCTGAACATATGGCAGGAAAATATACTTTTGGAAAATTCCAAAATAATGTTGTTACACAGTTTGTCCAACAGAGCGCTCTAACATTAGAGGAAGCTCTAAAAGCTGTCAACACAGTCATTCAACCGGGTCAAACACTTTAGAGTCACTGTGATTAAATACAGTGTCAAGAAATGTAATAGCCACCTCACTAATTATTCAAACCAAAATAAAAATGACCAACATAAGACACCATGTTGTAACAGACACATTACAAGCATTTGTTTTTTATACATAAAACAACAAAAATATATATAAACTATGAATGTGATATATAATTTAACTCCCTAATATCAGTGTTAGCCGGACTCCAATATTAATAATTATAGTAACAAATATCTTCCTAAAAAATTGTTAAAACACAAGTTTTCCAGAGTTTTGTGATAATCATTTTGTTTTCTCACAGTCATGCGGCCACTGCTCTAGATCGGTATCAGCTCTAAAAATATCCAGTATTGGTCATAATAATAATTATAATAACAAAACCTCTCCTGGAAAAACATTGATTCGAAAGAAGTTAGCCTAGAGCACATACGTCATTAAAGTCCAAAGAAGTCACAGTGTTTTCTCCACAGATGGTCAGGTGTATACATGGGGCCAAGGCTCCGGGGGCCAGCTGGGTCTGGGGGAGAGGCAGCCCAGCGCCACATCCCCCCAACACCTGAACTCTCTGTCAGCGGTCCCCCTGGTGCAGGTCGCTGCAGGGGGGGGGCAGAGCTTCGCCCTCTCTGTCTCTGGAGCGCTGTTCAGCTGGGGCAGCAACCATTGTGGGCAGCTCGGCCTGGGAGACACCACAGGTAGAAAGAAGAAATACTTATGTGTATATTACATTTATTAAAATATATACTTATCAGATGTAAAACTGAATTTATATTTATTTGTCTACAGACAGACATACACCAACTCCTGTTCACAACCTAAACACAAAGAAAACTATTCACATCTCCTGTGGAAAGGACCACACTGCTACTTTAACTAAGGTTGGACATAAAAAGCTGTGATTTCCTGATATATAAATGTATACGAATAAGAAATATGTTTTAAATTATATTGAGCAACATTTAAAAAACAACCAGTAGTGTGAAGTTATTTAAATTATTTTTGTTGAATTAGTGCAAAGGGTAGTACACATACATTAGAAGTGACATACAATAGAAAGGAGAAGACAGAAACAATAGCCATTATAAGACAGCAAAAAGGCCTAACAAACAAAAAAGGAAAAAAACGTATTTTTGTTGTTATAATTATGCGATTGAGTATTTGTTACTAAGGGTGTTTATATAGTAACCGTATGTATGTGTATATTTCTAATTCCTAGCAAAGACAATGAAAACTCAACAGAAAACAATAATAAATACATACAAATAAATATGTTACGCTCAAACATATATATATATATATATATATATATATATTTATAATACTACTTCACAAGTACAGGATCTATTTGTGGAAAGATCTTACTTTACTCATACATTACATGGGTTGAACATGAGCAGAAAGTGCCAAGTTGATCATTATCAAGAGCCAATCAGAAATGATTATTATTCAGATATCATATATATAATACTGTATATTCAAACTTACTCTGAGAATAAGATGGGAGCAAAGGCAACATTAAGAAAAGATGATTACAGTAAGCTCTTTGTGAGAAAATAAATGATATACTAACTTCCAGTCACACAGATATGTGAAGATGTGAAACTAAACAACATGTGAAACTGATGGTTGTCTGGTGGCCTCCTCAGGACGGTGCAGTGTTTACGTTTGGCTCTGGTGAACACGGACAGCTCGGACACAACTCATTCAGAGATGAACTACGACCTCGGCTTGTTGCAGAGCTCTGGGGGGCAAAGGTCACCAAGATCGCCTGTGGAAGGTACAACACGCAATATTTAGATTCTGAACTCAGCACCAATGCAGTTCAAACAATGTTTTATTATTTGACATCATCTAATTGTGACGGTTGAAACCAATTATAGAGAATCTAACTTTGCATACAGTAGCTCCATGAGAGTATGATCAGCTATTCATCTTTTTATTTTTCAAGGTATTCAGTATACATTATTTTTGTCTGCTGCTTTTTAAAGGGTTGGCCTACAAAAGAAAGTCACTGTTACAGCACTCTTGAGATTTGAACTGGGGCTTGGAGGCTGTAAAACTCAAGAAAAAGCCTTTGTTGTTGACATTATAATCATTTTGTGCTATATTATTGTTTTCTCAATCAGACATCACACATTGGTGTTGACGGACTCCAAGAGGGTCTACTCCTTTGGGTGTGGAGAGCAGGGGCAGCTGGGACACAGAGAGGAGAGTCCTCCGTCTGTGCCGCTACCTGTTCAAATGCCACAGGGTATCTACATTTCAGTTATAAGTTATTAATTCCAGTTAGGAAAGTCATACATATTTATAAAATATTTTGTCCAATATACCATAAAAAAAACTATTACTATTGTAACAGACAAAAACATAGGATTATCTATAATTAAGAAGACAATTTAAAGGCAAGATAGGATTGGATAGCTTCTTGTTTACCAGCTTTGTAACTGTTGAAACTTTTGGATGATTTCCCGTGTCCAATTACATATTTTTAATTGTATTATGTTGATTTTAATGATTTTGTATTATTATTTACTAATAATATTTTAATATTTCTGTTTTTCTTTTATTGTAACTTTTTATTACAAGTTATTTTAAAGAGGGTTTACATTTTGTGTAATGTCTATTGTTTGAAAATATTTACAATATATATACATTTTATATTATATTTTTTTTTTTTTTATGAGGTCCTATGACTGTTCCTTAATAATTTCTCTTAAAATGTTGCTGCTACAATGAGTTGTGGGACATCATTATCTCCCCTCCATTGGTAAAAGATTCTCCTTATTTCTTTATCACTTACTGTACAGAATTCCCTCAGCTCTTATCATGGCTGCCATTTCACTCAGGAACCTTCCTTTATTCCTCTTCTCTATTCCTTGCTTTTATTGACATGGTTAGTCCATACATGTGCTTTGCTCAAGATACAAACACATTTTCTTTACAGGCAGTATAAGTCAAACAAAACAGGCCTCAAATCCTACCGCAGCCTACAAGAGTGACAGTAGTTAAAGGGAAAATAGCATGTTAAATTGACTGAATGCATTACATATGGCATGGTTTCATGTCAACGTATTTCGAAGAAAGATAACTTTTATTATATTATTATTCCAGATATCACTGATGGTCCTAAAGTAAGAAACATCTTCGCGGGAGGAAACTGTTCGTTTGCAACTTCTGTTCAGGTACCAACACAAATACACTACAGATCATAATGGTTTGAGGTTTAATAATACTTTAACACCAATGAATGATACATGTTAAGACGTTTTCCTGAGCCAAACATAAAGTATTTTTTATTTCGTTAACAGGAAGCTCAAGAGGAGTCAAACACTGACAGCAATGTAAAACAGGACTCTATTGATGGCCTGATTGACAAATGGCTCTCTAAAGGCAATTCAAGATCATGGAAAAGGAGACAACAGTAAGTAGCAGTTATCGTGTATATATAATTATATTAATGGTTTATATCATGTTAGGTTGTAATTAAATATTGTTACACTTGAGTATTGCGATATTATATTTTGTGATGCTGTGTTCTCAAAGACATTGGGTTTTTATTGATAGCTAACATGCATAGATGTGTTGCACACATTTATTACGTTTATTTTGCGTTATAAATGCAAATGCATTTCCCTCTGTACTGAATGATCCATGACATGCTCATTCTCAGGTCTCTAATTTGTATTCTGTGTCTCTACTGTGACATGTCTCCATGCTTTAATGTTCAAAAAGCTCTTTATTTTTCTCATACTGCCTGTGCTGCAGCACCTCTTTTCACCCTCTGTCTGAAACTAGAGCCCAGTCTGCTCTGATTGGTTAATTGTGATTGGTTAACCACTTAAAGATGTCCCGTGATAGTCTATCACGTACAATGTGTTGGAGTGCTAGCCAATAGAAACATAAGTGTTACATAGTGATGTCATTATGTTACAGAAAAAAACAAAGGAATCCAATGGAGGTGTTTTAGGTTGTGGGGGGGGGGGGGGGAGAGAGAAACTCCCTCTGGAAGGAACTTGGCATTTTAGCCTTTGGGGACTATTTATATGCACAAAAACCTATATAACACGCTACAGGAAAGGGAAAACCCCAAAAAGCATAATGGGGCCCCTAAACTTGGATTGTTTGTGTTAGGTGGTATATTCTTTAGTCAGTACATTTTTTTTAAATTGATATTGAATAATAACCCTTCTTTATCCCAATTAATATGGAATTACTAGATTATTCCCAATACACAGCTCTAGTTTTATGATAGCTATTGGCTGCAAGCACTCAATGTTGTTGACTAACCACATTAAAACCTTCCAGGGATGTCCGCAGGACGTTTTCCTCTGCATCACGTGTGAATCAAATCTTCATGGACCAAAGGTAAACATCATCTGGGCATCATATATTATTCCTTCCAATATGGTGAATTACATAACATTTATTCACTGTTTATCTCCATAGCCAAGATAAACATTTCCGGACTTCTCCTAAGTACCACGGGTTGAACTTCGCGCTTGTGCAACGTGCTTTCGAGAAACTGGCAAAGAGGGATGGTCTTTTGGAAAAGGTATGAATTGAAATGTGTTGAGCATTAATAAACATGGAAGAGTGGGAAGTTTAGTTTCAAAACCTTTTCGTAATGCTCTACTCAGTTATCGCGTTGCTTTTCCTCAACAGGTTGAGGAAGCTGCCTTGCACTTGCTTCCTTCCCTTGATGAGGAGCCAGTGGGAGTGGAGGGGCTGAGGATCTTCCTGATTCTCAATGAGCTCCTGCATGTGATCCAGAAATACAAACTGCAGTCGAGCACAAAGCTCTCCGACGCGGTGGCTGCTGCCATACAAAGTCTTTCTGCTGAAAGCCGTCGGGTCATAGGTACAGTCAGAAATTTGAATGTTTGACACGCTCAATTTAAATGTATCAAATAATCATGTACTGTATTGGAGTGCTCATCAGACGTACAGCAAGTAATAAGGGGTGAAAACGGAAGGGAAAAGTTGTTGCAATTGTTATGATAATCAAATGGGAGTTACAGTAATACTAAGCAGTGCATGCTATTGTGTAACTTTCGGGGCCGTGCTAGTGCCTTGTTTTAGGCGCCCTCATTACCAATGTGTTCATGTAGATGCTCTGAAGTTTTTTATTTTGCCGAACTTTCATTACCCTGACTTTAATATCTATCCAGTGTGTCCCCTTAGGGTGCATTCACACCTAATAGTCCGCTTCTCTGGTGCGCACCAGACCACAGTTTGTTACATTGTTTAATTTTTCGGAAGGTTCGGTTTGCGTTCACACGGGCAAAAATCAAACGGACTATAAACTTTAAACACAAGTCATGTGCTCGGAAATGCTGTTCAACCATTGGTAAGACATTAAGGGGGTTAAAAAGGCAAATCCCGGAGCCTCCGCCATGGAGCATCGGCACTATCGGCAGGTTATTCTCATGCTGCTGTTAATCTGGAGATCAACAGACACTAGCGCCCCGCGCATATGATTATATAATCAGACAACGTCCCTGTTAAGCCCCGAGCCTGTTTTCCAGGTCTCAGGCTCAAAAATGACATTCCCAGAACAAATGACCATATCTTCCCTTCTAAAAGGGTTAAATTAATAATCTTTTTTCTCAAAGCAAGGTTACATCTGTGAGTTGGATGTAGAAGTGTCAGAATCAATATAGATGTTTTTATTTGAAAGTAAATTGAGATTGAACACAGTAAAAATGTTAAATTATTGTGTCTGCCCAAAAAAAAAATTACTTATAGTGCAAACCACCCTTGAATGATGGGATGGTAGACTAAAAGCTTTAGGAATCCAAACTACAACATATAGCAAAACAAGTGAAATTTGACCTTTTTAGAGAGATTTAGCACAAAAAACCCCACTTCTGGGGTCATTTGGGTGGATTTTCCATATCTCTGGCCCCCCTTGGTCGATTTTGATGATTGACGTCTCTTTCTAACCGTCAGAGCCAATGGAATCGAGGGGAACTCCCACATACACACACACATTACCAAATAAGGAGTGAGAGTGACGCATAGCCAAAACCGGAAGCTGCGATAACTCTGGTGGCTACCATTAGCAGCTAATTTGTGCTCCGATTTTTACATAAAAATGGAATTATAGATTATAAATAATTTTTTCAAAGCGACAGACACATTATCAACCTATGGATTAACCGATTCAGCCGCGTTTTTTCTCGTTTTAATGCCATTGAACACGTCTTTTGATCAAATTGACAGCTACGGTGAGACGATCTCCCGTAAAAGCTCCTAAAAGGTAGGTGTTGTGATGTCTGCGTTTGCTTCCCCTGTCGTGAGTTCGGATCGCTCAGTGATGATATATATACCTATATAATCTGTGGAACCTCAGCTTTAATCGGATATCTTGTATGTGCAGCTACGATAAGTAATAAGGGTATCTTTATCTTGAGTTCTGTGCCAAAGTGCGTTAGCATTTTTCGCTCAGGGGTCATTTATATGCTTCTTATGAGACTTGTGTTTTGTTTTGGTATAAATGGTTTGTATCGTCAGTTAGCTGAGATTCTTCCCGTTAATCTGGTATAACACATTAATAGGTTCTTAAATATCAAGATGCCGTGAGACACAGTGTCGTGAAAAAAAAAAAAGGACCCATCGAAGGGGTCTTTGGGGCTTAACAGGCAAAACATTATGACACATATAATGAGAGACGTTCTGCAGTAAGGAGGAGGTTTCACAGGTGACAGGTGTTCTTACTTTTATGTAGTTGACCGAGCATTTTTACTCTACACGACACTGTTCAATACTTAATTCTGCTTCACTCTTTAACGAAACAACCGCGGATGTCTTGAAAGACTCTTTCGCTAAAGATTTTTTAAGACATCTTGTGACACGTAAATACTACGCTTCCTATGTTTTGGTGCGGACTGCGTTCACACCAGCAATGAACCGCTCCAGAGTTCGCAAGCAAGCGTTCCGAGACCACCTATTCGGACCAGAGTCCGGTTGTTTAGTTCACTTAAGAGGTCTCGGACTGTGTTCACACCGACCCAAATGAACCTCACCAAGCGGCTAAACGCACCAGGGTTCGATTCAACCGGACTATAAAAGGCTGGTGTGAATGCTCCCTTATATTCATTTTGTGAGCAGCTGGTACATTTAGCTGTAACCCTTAAAACGTCAGCATAAGAGCAGACACCAAATGCCCACAGCATGTGTACAGCCCCTAAAAACACTTTTTTGTTTTTCATTCAAATAAGATGCTTTACGTTAATTGCAATAAGTTGGGTCCTTGTATAGAGTCTAACTTGCTCGCTAATATTAATGCAAATCTCCTTGTTGTCTTCCTCAGGGGACTGGTGGTCCTCACTGCCCTCCTCCACCATGAGTAAACATGTTAAGGTGTGGAAGCAGGCCCTCTCAGTGATCCTGTCCAACCAGCCTGTTCCTCGAGATTCAGGAGTCAGAAACCTGCTCCTAGTCCTCCAGCTGATGTACAACGTGAGTATCAACCAGAGGTCGCGTTAACCGAATATTTTCCGTCTATGACGGATTTTTTTTAACAATGACGGAAAAATCTGAAAGCAGTCCGTCAATTTGACGGATTAGAACAAACTCGGAACAGCGCCAAAGTTTCCCCGCAGCGAGGCTCCGGTGTTATGCATGCCTGCCAAAAAAGAAATGATACCGTTTCCAAACCCAACTTTGCCGTACAAATCATTGAAATGTCTGAGTTTTGGCTTTACGCTGTGCGCACTCCTGCGAGGTGCAGTGGGCATGCATAACACGGCGCTAACAGTTCACGAGCGTGCGCCCCGCCCCCCGTTGACAGTTCACGACTGTGCTCTCCCCCCCCCCCCCCACCCCCGTTAACAGTTCACAACCGTGCTCCCCCCCCCCGGTTGACAGTTCTCTCTCTCTCCCCCCCCCCCCCAGAGTGTAAAGGCCGACGGGTAACACTGCATTTTGACGGAAATGTTACGATCCTGTCTGTCAAAATGACGGGCAGTGAAAAAGTCGAGCACAACCTCTGGTATCAACTGTCTTATTCTTGCTGTGAAATATTGATAACCATAGTTTCCTCATTAATGAACTGGATCTCATTATACTTGTTTTAAAGGCCAACAGCAGAATCGCAGGCCGTAAGAGACTCCCAGAAAAAACATTCTGTGTGGGGTTCAGCGAAAACTTTCTTCAAGAAGATGTTCAGCTTTGGCGGTCAATGTCAAAAATCAAGGTAAACAAATATTAACCAATCAGTAATCACACAAATATCTGTGATCATCAAGTAAATTACTCACATGACTCTTTTTTTCAGGATACGGATTATCAGCCACTTATCATCTGCAATTTCCCATTTGTGATGGATCTGAAATCAAAGAAAATTGCTTTTGACATCGATGTTATATGCACTAAGGTAACTTGAGTCTGGAACTTTGCTTCGTTGGAACCAATTCATAGAAACAATTTCATTTTGGTTGTCAACTGATATCAGTATTTGTAACTGGGGAGTTAGCGCCACAAGGGCTCCCTCGACAGAAGCCAAAGCTTTGTGGTAAACACACGTTTCTGATGCTTACACATTTCGACAAATAAAAGCTTTGGACATTCACTAGTGGGGTATTTACCGACATATTTTATGTCGTAGAACAAAACATGAAAATGAAAACCTCTTCAGCGTGAGTAAACCACATATATTTCAGGGTTGACTTCGAGAAGAGGGAAAGAGAAGTAGGAAACAGTTAGCGGGTTTTGAGACTTGATCCTGCACCACTCTTTGTGGCAACATTTAAAAGCTGATTACCTATTTACATTATCAATCTCATTATAAAGCTGCACTTATCAATTTTTTAAATAAACAAATAATCAAATAACACTGTGCAATGAGAAAGGGGGTCATTTTCAATGGCAACCTCACCGATCACCTGAATCATCAGATACCCTCAGCTTTTAGAGCCTTTTAGCTTATTGTTTTGGTTTCACAGTCCATAACTTTACTGACTCATTGTACTTTCCTTACTCTTATGAACCTTTACTCAAGCATCAATTAGAAGCTAATATTGATTATAATGCTACACGCTCTGTGTATGCTGTTGTGTAAATTGGCTACTGTTTGCCAAGTTTTCAATAACAACTCTTTCATATGTTCATGCTGTTTTTTACAGCTTGTTACGCTGCCCCCAAGTGGTCATAAAATAAATGCAGTTTTAAATAATGCCGTAAAATGCATGACATGACGCATACAAAGTATACATAAAAAATTTCTTTTATTCTTTTTTAGAATGAACAACAGACAATGATGACTTGGTGTTATGGATTGCCTCAGACAAATCCCTACTTTGAACTGAAGCTGAAGCGAAAGTCACTTTTGGAAGGCACCTTCGGACAACTGGCTACTGCACCTCTCAGTGAGCTGAAGAAGCCACTTGTGGTAAATATTTAGGCTAGTTGAGACCTGTTGGTTTAAGCTTATTACTGCATGTTTCTTGCTGTTGTGAGTTTTATTTTCATGGTTTATTGCACTCATTGTAAGTCGCTTTAGATAAAAATGGCAGCGAAATAAAAATTAAATGCTATGTGATGTAACCTCACAGGAAGAATCTTAATATTTGTCTCTCAGGTCTATTTCGATGGGGACCCAACGATCACACTTGTGTCCAACAGAGACCTTTTTCACCACTCATTTCGTAGTATGGTGTCAAACAAATTCGAGATGTTCATGTTCAACACCCCGGAAACACTGGCCTGGTTCCGCTCCACGGTAAGACTCTTAAGTCCTCACTCAGATAGATTCAAGGTTCCATTTATGTAATGGATTTCCTGCTAAAAATGATAAGCAGCAATAAAATATGCAACATAAATTAAATCAATCACCCTGGTTTTTCATTGTTTTGATCTCTTATCCACCCAGGCAACAGATGAGGACAAGACAAACTGCTTTCTGTTTGGGGTTCTGTGTGGATTGGCCTTGTACAACCATTGTATCATTCACTTACAATTCCCACTGGCTCTGTTCAAGAAGCTGCTGGGTGTAGAGCCCACACTGGAGGATATGATGGAATTCAGCCCGAGTGTTGGGAAGTCAGTATTCATCCACATTTTATCATTACACAAATGTGGTGTTTTAGAGCAACATAATGCAACAATACATCTGTATTTTGCGATTAACCGACCCTACGGTTGGTAACTTATACACAAGTGTTGTAAATATGGACTGTCCACAGGGCAATTATTGTGATAAATGTAGTAAAATCATGAACTAGCTAGTTGAAAATGGTTGAAAATGGTAGTATAGTTGATGTCTTTTTGTAGGCCAACCCATAAATGATTGGTCCCTCCAAAAAAAGCAATGGGATTTTTCCATTTGATGTTGGTATACTGCATAAAATAAGCTTTGTGGCCAAAACACATTTATAATACTTAACACGTTTTGTTCACCACGCTAAGCTAAAAGTGGTCTTGTCTCGATGTGATGATGTTTCGTAGTCTCTTTTATTCTTTCTTAGCAACCGCCGTTTTTATGATACATACAGACAGTATATAATGTAATGTAATATAAGCTTAAGATATTCACAAGTTGGGTATTTACTGAAGTTTTTTATGTCTGAGAACAAAACATGAAAATCTCTTAGGCTTGTTTTAACCCAACACCTTATTTCAGACGTTGAAAAACAATGTTGACTTCGAGAGGATCGAACCGGAATTTGAAAAATGCTAAGTTATTTCCGGGTTTTAGGACTTGTTTCTGCCCAACTCTATTACCCTAAAAGTCCAACAGCAAGAAGGCCAGATTGGCATTTGCCTGCAGCTTTGTACATCGTGAAGTTCTCGCCAACAATTTGAATCAAGTCTGAGATTATAGTTGCATTACATTTAGTAGCTGCATTGTGTTGATTTGAATGATTCCTGAAAGGTCACAATATATTTAATAAATATTATGTAGCAGCAACGGTCACTTTAACAAAAAACATGTATCACTCAGATCTTATGTTGAACTTCTGTTTTTTAGGAGTCTGCAGTACATCTTAGACTCTGAAGATGATGAAGTTGAAAACCTGTATGCAGAGTTTTTGGTAGGTGTTTTACTCTAAGGATCACCAGTAGTGTGTTTCGTTCATCTTTCTTACTCAAATATGTTGCAGTGATGTTACTAACCTGCTCACTTTCTTGATTCCTGAACAGATCAACTGGGATCAGAAAGAGGTTGACCTTGATCCCCAAAATCCTGAAAAGCCAGTGACAGCTCAAAATAGGTAAGACTTTTAGAATATTAACATTTTCAGTTGTGTTTGTGACAAGCACCCAGTGTGGCTCGGTTTCAGATAAATATTGATTGACTTGAAACTTTAATCTGCTGAACAGGAAGGAGTTTGTGGATGCCTACGTGAGCCATGCCTTCAACACATCAGTGGAAGGTGTGTTTCAGGAGTTCAAGCGGGGCTTCTTCATGGTGTGTGACCAGGATTTGGTGAAGCTGTTCCGGCCAGAAGAGCTGCAGCGAGTGCTCGTGGGCCAGGAGGTCTATGACTGGGCAAAACTGAAACAGGTACTGTTCCAAACACAAGATCCTTTTGTTTTCTCTGAAACTGATTTACATTTTCTTTAGCTTGATTTTTAGAAATCAAAGATTGTAACAGATTTGTCTTTTTAACCTGAATTTAGAACACAGTTTGGAATCCACGACTAGGCGACAACACCATACAGATGTTTTGGGAAGTGTTTGAGGACCTGACAGAAGACCAGAAGAAAGATTTCCTGTGTAAGTATTGCAAAGTACCTAATGAAATCGAAACCTAATGTAAGCAGCCTATCAATTAATATCCCAAATCATGTCAGTTGGTATAGGTATTAATATTATTGTTATTAATCACTCATCCATTCAAATAAATACATATAAGGCCGACACAAATTAACCTGAAGATTCCTATTTTCTACCCGGGTGTTCCTCAGGGTTCCTGACTGGTTTTAGGGGTGTTCCCATTTTTGGCATGGACGAGGTCAAGATGAAGATTCAACTCATTCAAATCCAGAGCGGTCAGACCTACGATCAGCACTTCCCTGGGTCTCTGACCTGTCACTCTATTCTGACCCTGCCCATATACTCTTCCAAGGAGATCATGAGAGACAGGCTGACGGAGGCCCTGCTGACGGTGAAAGGATTCTCGGAGTGATGCTGGAGGCACAACTGTGCTGGGAAAGGGCGAGACTGATTTTCTATTTTTGGATACCTTTGTTTGTGCTACTTCAGGATTCAATCAAAAGCACTGTGCTATATGCACATGAACTTTGAAAAAGCTAAAGAGCTGCATCATTCGTCCAATTCTGTTCCGAATTGATTTTTAAATCCTTTTATTTGTTTTTAAAGCACTAAATGGGCTGGCTCCGGCCTATATAGCTGAACTCCTCCAGCGCTACACCCCAGCCAGAGCGTTAAGGTCTGCTGACCAGCTGCTACTGGTAGTGCCTAAAACCAGGCTAAAAACCAGAGGGCACCGAGCCTTCGCGGCGGCTGGCCCTAGGCTCTGGAACACTCTGCCCCTCCATGTGAGGTCGGCCCAGACCCTAGGGGTTTTTAAATCTAAACTAAAAACTCACTTCTTCACCCTGGCCTTCTAATCAGAGCAGAGCACGACTCATGACACTTCCCTGTGTTTGATTTTTATATTTGATGTTGTAATTTATTGTCTTCTGTTTACATCGGTAGGAATGTGTTATTTATTATCTGCATGTGCAGCACTTTGGCTCGACCGAAAATCGTTTTTAAATGTGCTATAGAAATTTGATTTGATTTGATTTGATTTGATCATTCATTCCTAGCAGCACTAAGCTGTAGCAACATAACAGCTGATTTTAACTTATAATTTAAGCTTTTTATATTTATATCATGAGTTTTACTTCTCAGGAACCCTAAAGAATAATAAAAAATATATATTCTTCTATGTGTTTTTTGTGCAAAATCTGTAACTAGCCTTTTCCGGACCAGCATGTGTAAAGCGAAGTTGCCACTTTAGTAAAAATGAATGGATAGATTTACTCCTCCCAATATGTCTGTGTATTAATTGATATGAGGTCAGTCCTGGTTTACTCCAAAGTGGTACCACACTGCAAACCTTACAAAGATACCTTTGACATGGAAATGCAATTGAATGCAATAAATTCAGCAGATCATATGTGCTGCCTAACTTCTTGGCTATTATAACTGTAAAAGTGATAACATTAAAACAGAAGGTAATTAAGTGTTGGTAAAATAGAATTGCCAAAAGAACATAAATACTATTAATAAGAACAGCAGCAAAAATATATTGATACAATGGAAATCTAAGCACCCACCTTCATTACAAAGGTAGAGAGAAAATATGATATGTCATGTTGCACCAAAGAAAATTAAGTACAAGGGCAATGTAAGTAAATGTTTGTACTTGTAGATTGTAATTGAATGCATAGTTTGAAAATAATTATGATATTTTACAAATATTTTTAAACAAGATATTCTGTGCTGACATCTTAAATGATGAGCCTATTGTTTAAAGCTGTATGGTGTAAACATGTACGAGTCCAAGGCTGCTTTGGTTGTTGAAATTGTCAGTCAGATGTCACAAAACTGATGCTTAAGACAACAGGCCCATTGCTTAAGTCAGTCAAACGGTCTCAAAGGTTTTAAGGCAAAACATGTTTTGAGTCGGGTACCTTATTTTATTTTGATAATAACAACTGGCCATTTGTTTAACTAAGCTCAATTTAGTGGATTTTTTGCTTGTATTATGAAGTTTAAAACAATTATAATGTCTCATACCTAACCATATCCGTTTTTCTCTGTAGTGTGTGGGTTGCAGGTAGATCAGCAATACAGTTTTAAGAAAGTAATCTAGAAAGAGAAAATAGGGAAGGTAGAAAGAAAGGACCACTAGATGGCCCCATTATTCTGCAGCTTGCCTGAGATGAAACAAAGAGCTCTGGGATGAGATCATCCACTAGTGCAGACTTTTCAAAATAACAATTTGGAATCTCTAAATCCTGCAAACAACAACAAAAATACATTAAATGCAATTCAAAAATGTAAATGTTGGTGTGTGGCCATGAGGCCAATAAACAGATTAAAAATAATTAGGCTTGATAACAAACCAGTTCATACACCAAAACCTTGATGAGGTCACTAATATATTCTATTTGGCACACTGTAGCTCCCTATAGGGACAGTACAGGAGGAATGCTATGTGACTTTCCATTAGTGCACTCCAATTTCAAAGGCAGATAGGGGTATAAATAGAAACTATTTTTGTTTAGGTCCTCATTTCCGCTGTGGCCCTAAAGTCATTATAAAAGAAGCATCTCAGGAATGTACGTTAGTATGTTATGGGACATCTCATTGTCTATCCCTGCTATTCAGAGGAAAATGCACATTAGTCAGTGAGTTATATAATTTCTTGGACTTCCGAAGCTTTCATTCACTCATTTTCCTCTCTTCACTGCGCACGAGGCGCGCGGCCGCTCGCTGCTGCTGCGCCGCGGGAGCGAGAAGGAATGTAGTGACGTCAAAAGCAAGCTGTACACACGGGCGCGCGCACGATATGTACCGTCCCACTCTTGTGTTTCTGCGGAGCGGGCGGGCGGACAGAGCTAGAGACTCTTCAATGAATTGAGGCAGGCAGTCAGTCATGAGAAAAGTATGACTGCGAACATGGAGTATTATGAAAGGACACGGGAGGGCAGCGCTGTCTTCTTCTACGTTTAAATTCAGCGACACCGAGTGTGAATGACAGAAATACCCGTTGGCTCGCGGCTACGGGATAATTTGCACAACAATGGTAAGTTGGCACCGAGGTGTTTTCATAACGGCATATCTCGTCCAACAGCGGCGTTATTACTGTGGTGCGTTCAATGTCAGCGAGGTTTGTTTGGATGTGTTGAGCAGCAGCCAGGAAAAAGACTACATGCGTATGTGCCAACTCTTGACTGCAGTTGAGGCCAAGTAGAGAACAGCTGGCCTTAGCACAAGTGAAGCAGCCCTTAGGATCATGCAGTGTTGTGAATCTGATAAAAGTGTACAGCCAAGGATATGAGAGCATATTGACACGGTGAGGCCTGAGTCTGTATACTTGGCCCAGTAGAGCTGTGAGAGGGGATTTAAACATGTGGGGGGAAAGCCTGCTGTTGTCTTTAATGGAAAGTGATGCTGTCATATAGTGATACATAATTGATGATAAACTATTGACAGTGATGACGAGGACAATTAGGATAAAGAAAACAGCAGTGAAGTTGACAATGGTAATTGTATCGATCACCATGGTAATGAAGATGATGATGAACTTGTTACCCTGGGGAAGATCTGGTGATGACATCATCAGGTCTAATGCCACCTTCTGACCCTCTTAGCCAAACTAATGACACACAAACTCTCGTGCACACACACACACACACACACACACACACACATGCATACATACATTACGGTTTCCTGTTACAGTATTGATTCGGCGTGCCATTTGTGCTGGATGGTTGTTATTTGAGAAACACAGGCCTTCAACATTACACACAATAAAATAATGTGTTACCCTATATCATACCATGTCATTGTGCTTCAGTATAATTAGATACAATCTAGACTTCACCGCTTTATTTAAACCTGGCTTCTCTGCCTTTGTTAAAATATGGTAATTTTCAATCATGCCTAGTACTTGAAGGGATGAGGCTTTTAGCAGCAGCTGACCTCATCTAAGCCCTTTTCCCTTCGGGCCAAGGCCAAAACCTCAACACTGTAATTGTATCTCATTGTGTTGTCTTTTTTCTGTCCTTCTAGGCAACTCCCTACCAGTGAGGAACTTTGCTGCCCTGCCCCCCTTCCTCCCTCCGTCCCCGACACCTTGACACAACTATTTCCCGTCTCCTACTTCCTCTTCCTTCTCCCCTTCCTCCTGAATTCCTCCTGAATTCCTCCTGTGCTACTCCTCAAATCCCTTCTTGTTTCAAACATGGACTCCTCTGGACAAGTAACCACCTCAGCTCCTGATGGACATATCGAGCCCAGGAGCAGCCCCGGTCGCTCGGATCTCAGCGGACTCTACTCTCTGGGTCGCACGTTGGGCAGGGGCCACTTTGCTGTGGTCAAACTGGCTCGTCATGTCAACACGAGGCAACTGGTTGCTGTCAAGATGATTGACAAGACAAAACTTGACGTTATGGCAACAAGCCACCTCTTACAGGAAGTGAGGTAAACCATACTAATTTAAAACTGAATAGAGTGGTGCAGGAATGAGTCATAAAACCCAGAAAGTCCTGAAGCAATGTTTTTTTGAATAAGTCGTTAGTGGTTAACACTTAAGTTAAGCTTAAGAGATGTTCCCACTTTGTTCTACGACAGAAAATAAGTCAGTAAATACCCCACTGGTGATTGCCTGAAGCTTCTTTGTTTCATAGAAACAGCGGTTGCTAACGAGTGACCTAATTAGATAGCTAATGTTAGCTTCTTACTTCCGGCAATTGCATTTACGCTTCTAAAATCATTGAATTGGTGAAATACGTAGAGATTACCGTGCTGAACATAATGTGTAAGTATTATAAACGCGATTTCTTACTTTCTGCAATATTTAGAAATCAAATGGAATTATCAGCTGCACAACTATTAAAAGTTAATATTCCTAGTTTGGATTACGCTGACAGCTATCTTACATTTAGCATAATTCTTTTTTAGGTGCATGAGACTAGTGCAGCATCCCAACGTGGTTCGCCTCTACGATGTCATCGACACGCCCAGCACCCTCTTCCTCATCATGGAGCTAGCTGAGGGGGGCGACCTCTACGACTACATCCTCCGCCACGAGGGAGGCGTAGCTGAAGGCAATGCCAAGCGCCATTTTGCCCAGATTGTGCGTGCTGTGGCGTACTGCCACCAGCTGCACGTGGTGCACCGGGACCTGAAGCCGGAGAACGTGGTGTTCTTTCCCCAGCAGGGGGCGGTGAAGCTAACGGACTTTGGGTTCAGCAACTTATTCCAACCAGGGACAATGTTGGCCACTAGCTGTGGATCGCTAGCGTATTCTGCTCCAGAGATTCTGCTGGGGGAAGAGTATGATGCTCCAGCAGTTGGTGAGTAACAGCAAATGGTTCATTTCTTATTTATTTTTGCAAGTGTTGAAAACTGGTCTCGATCGGTGAATCGTACGGTGGCCGACCCGTGCAAATGTGTTAACGGCCCAAAACGCTTGGATAAGGAAAAAACGCGCTGCCCTTTCCAAAACGATGTAAATAGAACACATGCAAATGAGGAAAACGCTTTACCAACTTGACGAAACATGTGCTTAGTTCTACAAGCGCTGCATAAACCAAACGCTGCAAATAAAAAAAAACACTGCAAGAAGCTCAAAACACAACCTAAACTTGGACACTAAAAAGTGACGCACACAGCTGGGACCGGAGCACTTGTTCACTTTCAGGAATTCAAATGACTAGGTTAGCTACGTTAGAAAGCTAGCTTGCAGCAGAGTATATCATGCCAACACATTGTTGAAATAACTTGACAGCGACTGTTGGCCAAATGTATAATCCCGAACATGAACAAGTGCTCTAGTCCCAGCTCTGCGCATCACTTTGAAATGTCCCCTGGTTTCCGTTGTGTTTTGAGTACTTTGAGTAAAAGCTGCGCATGTTTGTCAAGTTGGTGAAGATGTTTCTTCATTTAAATGTGTTTCGGCACATTAGTGCATTATATTTGCATCGTTTTCCCAATGGAAGTGTTTTGGGCCGTTACAACGCAATTTGACCTTTGATGAATGATGTACGTGACAAAAGGAACAAACTGTAGACATGTAGACGCATGCACAAATGACAAGGGGTCACTCAAAGGCTAAAAAGGCAGAGAACCACTGGCCTAGATAAGCAAGTATGTGCAGGGTTCTAGTTACACAAACTTCTTGCGCTGCTGATGCTATATAACACACTCATGTATATTCCAATCATAGCCAGTGGCTGCAACATCTTACTCATTTGGTTCTGAGATCAGCCGAAGTAGGGATCAAAATCTGTCTGAATGTAAAACCTTAATTAAGGGGAGTGAATCCACTTCAGCTCAACCGATGTAATTCAATTATTTTCCAGCATGAACTGAGCAGCCTTACCTCGATAGTAGCTGTTCTAGAACTTTCTAATAATCCTCAAATCCTCATCTGCACACTCATTTTGGAATTGCAGATACTTTTTGTATGATTTTTTTTTTTTTACTAAGACCATTAAAAACTTGACCTCAGTGTGTGTGCATTTCAGTTAATCACTTTCTATGTGTGTGGTCACCTTAGCCCTGTGTGTCTACTCCTGTGTATTTGTATTGTTTCTCTGTGTGTTCCAGCTCTGTGCACCCTTCCATATTTGAATGCTTGTTTTCGATCCATATATATACAGATATATGGATCTGTTTTGTTTGTAATTGTGTGTGCATGTCCATAAAGGATTAGTGTGTGTATCTGTGTCAGTCTGAGCCAGCCAGCCATGAGCCAAACGGGCACGTTCTGCAGTGGAACCGAACACTGCAGCTCACCACTGGACTCTCACACTGCATAGCAAGCGTTTTGTAAAAAAGACAGAGATAGATAGCCGAAAGAGAAAGTACTATTTATCAATGTTTGTCTATAGCAGAAAGGTTGGTGTGCAATGCTGGGATATGTGTGATATCAGAGGTACGGCAGGCCAATTGATAGCAGACACTATAGGGACAGGAGGTCAATGTGGTCCCATGTCTCCTGGGGGAGGACACACAGCATGCCCATTTCAGGGAGGTTGGCGATTTTATCAGCTAAACTGGACCAGGATGGATTTTGGCAGGGCTTGGGTGCTATTTCTTCTAGTGACTACGAAAGCTTCTGCACTGAATGCTAATGTATCCCAACGGCAATTAGTGAGATGAGTCTAGCTGCAGAGCTACAGAAGGAAGTGATGTACGATATTTTGAACACCAGTGACATTCAGCAGGATAGAGCAAGGTTTTATTCACGACCTCCACCAATAAGATTAGGTAAACAAACTTATAAAGCTAGGTCAATTCATATTTAACATCAAGTAACTTGACCTTATGAGTTAGCTTATGTAAGCTAGCTTTGCTTTATGTAATTGGCAAATGATAAATGGACTTGAATTTAAACAGTGCCTTACTAGTCTTCTGAGCACTTTACACTACATGTCAATGCTTTTACCCATTCACACACACACGCATGCCCGCGCGCACGCACGCACACACACACATTTATAAACTGATGGAAGGGCTGCAATGAATAATGGTCATTTACAAACGCACTCACACATAAATGTCAAATCCTGAAATTGGTGAATGAGCCAATCAACCTCCTGAGCCACAGCCGCGTCCAAACCAACGTAAATGTTAGCGGATTACTTTTTGAAGTTGTTGTTTGGTGACATCAACGCTAGTTTGATAACATCAATAACAAAACTAGCTAGCTAAAGTGAGCTAATGTGTTCTAAAGTTATTTTTCACTTAATATTACGATACCGAACTTTACTTTAAGTTACGGTTATATCAAAAATATCAAGCTTGTATTGCAAACCTTTGTTGTGTGACATGGACTTCACAGTATGAATATCAAATATGTGTTTGGGGCGACGTGGTGCAGGGGCGTCGACAGATCAGAAGGCCCTGCAGTCAGCAAGTCAAATGTCTTGACCCTAAACATTGCTCCCAGATGTCTATGGCAGGGGTTCCCAAAGTGGGGGTCGCGAGATGATTACAAATAAAAAATTGATAATTAAATTGTATCCAATTTTTTTTAATTATTAATAATAACGTTTGCATAGACATTTTGCAGGGGCCGACTGGCCATCTGTAGAATTGACGCGCTGCGAGGCGCCCCCCGTTGACAAATCACTAGCACCAGTCCCTAGCACTGTTCTTTTGGGGGTGAAATGTTTGGGAACCCCTGGTCTATGGTATCAAGGTTATGTAAGTTGATTTGGATAAATGCTTTAACTAATGACATGTAACGTTGTGTAAAATATATGCTCAGTGGTATACATAATATATTAACAGTGAGCATGATAAACATGTGATTTCCACCTTAACACGTGCCATTTTAAAATGAGTTCCAGTGCCTATAGGCCCAAGCGGGGAGCTCTGCAACAAGACGCTATAGCACTAAGGATCTACTCTACTGCATTTGTTTTACTGCCTATTGCAAAGATGTGAAATGTTTTATGTCAAAACCAGGGAAGGTGTTATTCAAAGTTTTACAAATGTTTAGTTTTCTCTTTTATTTTCCTACAATGGGTGTTGCTCCATTATTATTTTAGTCTGGGTGGGGCAGAGTGCAACTAAAGAAACCCTCCTCACATGCATCCATAACTTTAACATGACCTAACTGTTGCGTTAGTTCCTTTTTTATGTTCCCGTTTTTAAATCTCTTGCATGAAGGGGTTCCGTTTGAATCGGTTTGTGTGTGCCATTACTACATCCTCCAAGACAAATTGTTCTGCTTCACCTTAACTCGCGTGCATTTTTCTGTTCTATTTCAACATGATTCAACCTGTGGATGTGACCATTACATAATCATTTAAAGAATGCACGCCACCACACAAACACACTCATGAATATGTGTGTGATAATCATGAGCTGCACAGAGACAGAGATGTCCTTAGTGATCTCAGCTTAGAAAGGTGACTCATACACCCCTCTCTCTCTCTCTCCACACGCACACACAAACTGCTCTGTGTGCCGCTTTGATATTTCTGTCTAGCTGTTTCACCGTCGCTGCTTCACGAGTCTTTGCCGTATGCAAGCTGTGTTTGAGGACATGGTGTGTGTGTGTGTGTGTTTGATGATAGTCTCATGATGTGGAGGAGAGACACCAGGGTGAATTAGGTATTTGACAAAGATAAACACTGCCTACAGTTACATAACAGCTGCCCTTTACTGTTCCACACGTGTGTTTTTGAGTGCTAATGTAGGGCTTCACAGAATTTAAGTCTGAGGAATGTGGTGTTGTACATGCTTGCCTGCTGATGATACATGTTTGTGTTTTCCTTATTCTTGGCCAAATGCCCTTTTATGTGATTAAAAGAAGAAGAAAGGAACTCGGTCAACATGGTTTATCCTAGACAAAAGAGGCCAGAAATGATACTTTGTATGCATTCGGATGTGCTCTGACTGAAACAATCTAAATATGACAATGTTTGATGAGTTATGACAGAGAAGTGTGTGGCAATAAAGTTTCATAAAGTTTCAGATAAGAAGGGAGGCGGACAAAAGTTAGCTATCTGTGTTCTGAGCAGGAGGAAGTTCTGCATTTGGCAGATACTGAAGCCTCCCAGATACTGTTAGCCCATTTTGTACTGCAGCTATGAGGTGTAAATAGAATGTGAATTAAGCATATTATATAGCAATTATAATAGGAAGATTTTCCATACTGTAAATGTAGCTTTTCACATTTATTTTGGTGAATTATATACTGTCCCTAAAATAATTGCGAATAATTTGGAACACAAATATATTTTTCTTATTTTAGGACCAATTTATGGCCCAAATATAATGCATAATATACCATCAGTTATACATCCTTTATGCATCGCACAGCCGGGACATTTATATCATTGCAGCATTAAAGGGGACGGTGCAGAAAATAAAATGAGTAGACTAAAATATTAAACAAGAGGCATTTGTTAATTAAAAAAATCAAATATGTACTAATCCAAGGTATTTATATACTGTAAGTTGCAGCATTATAGGAGTGAGTGAACATTTACAAAAACAGTAAACTAGCAGACTGTCATAACATTATTCAATTGTAACATGATTGCACAGTTGTTCGTCACAACAGTGTTGTTACAGTCTTAGCTATAATGTATACAATAATATGAATGTATGAATGTATGTATAACAATGGATTTCTAATTCTTAAAATATACAGACATTGACATTTTATTTAGAAAAAATATATAGCCAGGGAATTGTCTAAACTGGGTAACAGGTGCGCTGTGCCCTCTTACTTTTGGCGTGCGCCTTCATACCAAAATGCAGATTTTCCTCGTAACATATTAAAATGATGCCAGAAAACAATATTTTCGTTTGTCAAAAGCAGTATAATTACTTC